GGTCGTCTACGATGAGCGTGTTGCACCCCAGCGACTGGAGCAGCGCAGTGAACACCGCTGGGTCGGACTCGGTAAGTGACCAGCCAGATTCGTCGGACATTTTCTGTTCTTCTGAGGACAACTTCGAACAGAACAGAAATGTTTGGGCAGTGATCAAGGCGGCACAAAATGAAAAAAAGGCGACGCGTCCCTGTCCTTTCTCGGCGCTTCTTCAACGCGAATGACATCCGTAACTCCGTAAACATATATAATTATTCCGTGTTCATCATCTATATTCATTTCAAGATTGCGATCGTTATACAATTGTTCTAGAGAAACACATGTTGGAAATTGAAGAGACGATTCACCATAGTTGAGCTACGGGTTATTGCGCTTTCTCACATAGTCCACAACTCCGCCAAAGTCGGGAACGACGTCTACGCCGTCCAGATCCTCTGTAGCTTCCCTCCTAGACCCATCGCTATACTCACCATGCCGTCGGACAAGCAGCGCTTCCAGTCCAGCTTTCTTAGCACCCCAGTAATCCCTGTCACGGCGTCAGCCCTCTGACCTTAACCCGGCTCACAGAACACGGGACACACGCAGCCAGCTCATCCCCAACATGCAGCACCCCTCCTCTCCCCTCCCAATCCAGTCCTTCCAACCCGGTCCTTCGGACAGCCTCCTCCCACACCCTCTGGTCGGGCTTCTCGAACCCCACTTCGGAGCTGAGGATCGCAGGCTCGAGGAAATGCGCAACCCCGAGGGAGGAGAGCACGGTGTGCATTCGCGAGTCGGTATTGCTCACGAGGGCGAGATGGGGCGGATTAGGTAGCGATTTGAGTGCTTGTACTACATGTATTCCCGGTGTAAGCGAAGTCATGCAGCGACGGTGGGTAACGTACATGCAGGCAGGACATCAGGGAAAAGGTCATACCCCTCCTTAGTCCCAAAATGCCGCATCAAATCGTCCACGACGCCCATGACATCCTCGCCTGAGGTTGAGGTCTGGAATCAACGTCAGTGCAAACCAATCAGCAGGAGACCAGGTACTCACCATGACCTTCTCCCTCATGTTCCTCGTTCCCCACTCCCACCCCCCACGGTTCACCCCCAGAGTGAGCAATCCTCATCTCCATGTGTTCTAATTTCTTGAATACCAGATGGCGGTACGAAGGACAGCGAGAAGGCGCAGGAGGCTTGAGCGGACTTGTGCGTTTGCACCAGCCAAACGAGACCTCTTGTCTCTCACCCGTCCTCCCTCCCCTCGAAAGACAACACCCCGCATTAATTTGGTAAAGGAAGGTTCAGATCAGGCCTATATCGAGGATTTTTGGAACATAAGTGTTATAGAAAGAAACATGACACGATGCGGGTGGGCTTGTGTTCCATAGTCTGATGTTATATCTTAATCAGAAATATTGTTGTGTTATACCACATGCAACATATACTTATATGTAGGATGGGCGGTGCAAACACCCTGACAACTCCTTCTGCACCTGATGGTCATGTCTTCCGTCCCCAACTGGATGATACGACATCGTTATCCTTGGTTGAATCCCATTTCTCTCTATTCCAGCTTTCCAACTGACCTTGAACATGTCTACACCTGGGGACAGCCTGAATTATGACCGACATGACGGCTTCGACAGGATCAAGACGGTCAACGTCCCTCCGCTGCCAGCAGACATTGTCGAAGGGCTAAAGCCATATGAACTTGCGGCCCTGGCATTCAATATCGCCGAGTTCGAGCTGATTGATGAGACCGCGCTTGCGGGGCATAAGGAGCCTAGACTATTCTTCATGCATCGTCCCCAGTCGGAGCAAATGTCGCAAGTGTACGCTGTGCGTAGCCCCGACGACAAGTCTCCAGAGCGTTTAACATACTTTAACACTGGAGGCGGACGCACTATCACCAACTGGACCCCTGTCCTGGGTGATAATCTCCATGGGAAATATCGTAAAGGAGGAGCGATCTTCTCTATGGACCTAAACGGAGACGAGGTGTTCCAACTGTGGCGCTACTGGGAAGATGATGCCCAAGAGGTGCCATTCGGGCCTGTCGCTGGCGAGCTCGATAACAAGCCAGGACGAGGCCGGATCGAGCGTCTCACGAACGATGGTTTCAAGTACTTACGTCCACTGATATCCAAACAAGGCCGAGGCAATCTGCTTGTGTTCGGTAGCAATCTGGAAAACAACAAGGATACCAAAATCTACAGTGTCGACCTGAGCAAATCAGGTTGGAATCCAGTCAAGATATTCGACAATCCCGCAGGCATCTCGTATCCCGCGAGCTTCTCAGCCAATGAGCAGTATCTCATCGTGAACCGATCCATCTCCAATTCGAACATCCCTCATTACGTCGTCGATCTTCATAATGTAACAGCCGAAGCAAAGCAAATCCTCCTGCCTGGAATCGATCCGACCATGCCGGTAGCTATCCGGAGCGCACAATTCTTACGACGGAGTGGTAGCACAAATATCATATTTGACACCGATGCTGACGGCGACTTCACGAGCGTCATCTTGTATGATCTAACCACCAATTCAGTGCAGCATCTCACCAACCCTGATCCTTCTCTGCGAGCAATATGCCCGATCCCGTGGAACGTTGCACTCCAGGCACTCACCGCAGATTATGCCTTGTTCACGGCGAATCGCGATGGATATTGCGACTTGTATCGCTACGATATGGCATTGAACGAGATGAAACCAATCATGCTCCCTGGACAGGGCGAGAACATCCTGAAGGATATCATCACTGATGAAGCGAATGGACGACCGAACACAATTCTTGCCAGCATCACATCTCCACACCTCGCCTCCAGCATATCTGAACTGGCTCTTTCATCCTCGAACACGCTGGTGTTGAAACCTTACGTGGCCTGCCAGACGCATAAGCCTGACTATCCTACGTCAAGTCCTGCGCTTATCCGCTACAAGAGCTTCGACGGTCTATCCATTCCCGCTTGGGTATACAAGCCGACCGAGACGTCAGAGAAAGGGAAGCTACCCTGCGTTATATATATTCATGGTGGACCTACAGCCCAAGTGCGGCCAAGCTTCCGTGTGTAAGCGGTTTCAAAACTCAGATCTGGCCTAGAATTGATTGTTCCAAGCTCATTGAACGCGTATATCTTGAACGAGATGGGAACCGCGCTCATCATGCCGAATGTTAGGGGAAGTGGTGGATATGGAAAAGCTTACCAGAAAGCGGATGACGTCTTCAAGCGTGAAGACTCTGTGAAGGACATCGGCGCTCTGATTGAGTATATCTCTTCGTCAATGCCAGAAATCGACACCTCGCGTATTGCGGTCATGGGTGGATCTTACGGTGGCTACATGACATTTGCTTGTCTTGTTCATTATTCTTCCCTGATCAGGTGCGGCGTTGCATCGTGCGGTATTGCAAATTGGGTTACCTTTCTCGAATCTACTCACCCCTCACGGAGAGCACATCGCCGGTACGACACGCACATCTCTGTATATCTGACCGTCGAGCTGACGATATGATAGGAACGAGTATGGCGACGAGTCAGATCCCAACGTACGCAAGTTCCTCGAGAGTATCGCGCCCCTCAATCATGTAGACGATATCAATGTTCCTCTGTATATGTTTGTCCTGTCAATCCATGAGACAGTATCGATCCGTTAATCTTCGTGCAGATCCCAGGGCGAACAGGACACACGCGTCCCGCTCAGTGAGGCACTCCTTATGTTCAATAAGGTTCGTGCCAAAGGTCTTGATACCTGGCTCGTGGTCGGAGAGCAAGAAGGACATGGGTATGTGCAACGACTGGCAAGGAAAGACAGTACTGATTGCACTTCTTTCTCTATAGATTCAGACAGAAGTCTTGCATTGAATTTGTCAATGCAAGCAAGGCAGCTTTCCTGAGAAAGTGGCTTCTTGACAGCCCGTCCGGAGCAGTGCAGAGCAACATGTAATGAATAGAGACAATTGGGTGCAAAGCATTATTTTTGTGGGGATAAAAATATCCGAATCAGATACATCAGCGATCGGACAGATAGCAGCATGTGCAGAATTGATCCCGAACCTAAAATATCTCATCCACCGTGTGGAGTTACAGAGATGGCTGTACTTTGTGCGATAAACAGCTTTGCTTTCTGAGATAACCAAGCGCTTCTGTAGCTTTACAATACAAGACTGCTGGGAGTGATGACTCCCCTTATAGGGCATGTCCAGGATGGCTGATCAGGATCGTCTCGAGTTTCAAAGACACTCTGGCTACGACAACGTCAAAACTGTCAACGTTCCTGCCTTACCACGGGACATCGTGGAGGGGTTGAAACCGTATGAAGCTGCTGCCTTGGGATTCCGTCTCTGTGGGACAGAAAAGCTTACCGAGTCGGCTTCCGGGTTAGACGCAATCCGATTTTACTATCAGCATCGGCCGCCTGGCGAACGTCTTCCTCAAATATACTCGGTTACCGGCCCAAGCGATCGTTATCCGGAGCGCTTGACCTACTTCAACGTCGGCAGTGGGAGAGTCTTCGATGCATGAGTACCGATTTCGGTGGATTGTTTACGAGGCAAACCCCGCGTTGGTGGAGCGATTTTCTGCATGGACCTGAATGGAAGTGAAAATTTCCAGCTCTGGAGGTATTGGGAGGATAATTTCCTTGACGGAAAACTCGAGAAAATTGAGACCGAAATCGACAACGCTCCCGGACGTGGTCGGGTTGAGTGGCTCACGAACGACGAATTCAAGAACCATTACCCTCTTGTGTCTGGCAACGGTACTGGGTCGGTGCTTGCCTTCAGCAGTACCCGAGCAAACGGTAAAGACAACAAGGTGTACACGATTGACCTCTCCGTGGAAGGCTGGAATCCAACTCTGGTGTATGACAATCCTGCAGGTTATTGTAATGCAGCCTCTTTCTCTTCTGACAGTGCACTGCTCTTGGTTGCTCGTTGAGCGTCGCATAGCAGCATGTCTCGCTGGATCGTGGATCTGAAGAACCCGAATAACGAACCCCACGAACAACTTCTTCCAGGAATTGATAACAATGCGGGATTCGCCATTCGTGATGCCCAGTTCAGTCAGGTGAAGGGCAGCACGGAGATTCTTGTGGCTTTGGATGCCTATGGCGATTTCGTGAGTGTGGTCATTTGTAATCTCAGCTCCGGAGTCATTCGGCATATCACCACACCAAATCCCTCACTCTCGCCCATTCATCCTATTCCGTGGGACGTGAAACTCGCCGCCGTTACCGCCCATTTTGCTGTCCTACTGGCTAATGCAGATGGATGGTGCGAGATCTATCGGTACGGCCTCTTGGATTCCAAAGTAGAGAAGATCACCATGGAGGACCACGAGACGGATATGGTTGGGCCTGTCCGCCCCGTCCTTCAGGGGCAGGAAGACAACCGCGTAGTCATCGAACATAACTCTTCCCATGTTGCTTTCAGCATCTCTTTGCTTGACCTTTCACAGCCTGGTCAGCTGAAACTCGAACCCATTCTTGCCTGTCAATCAGCATCACCTGGCTTCCGCACACAAGACCCAATTCTCATCAGATTTGAGAGCTTTGATGGATTGTCTATCCCAGCTTTGGTGTATTATCCCGCGAATATGCCGCCGACTGGCAAGATGCCAGCCGTTATATGGATACATGGAGGCCTAGCTATGCAGATTCGACCTGGTTTCCGAAGGCCCGTATTATACTTACTGGAGTGAGTTTGGTTTCTTATGACGGTCTACAGTCAGACAAATGGTTTCACTATAAATGAGCTCGGTTGCGCTCTAATCATGCCTAAAGTGAGAGGCAGAGCGGGTTATGGTATGTATGATGAGTGCAGACCGAACACAAGCTAAAGGCCAAACAGGCAGATCCTATGTCAAACTAGACGATGTCTACAAGAGGGAAGATTCTGTCAAAGATCTTGGGAGTCTGCTCGAGTACATCAGCACGTCGATGCCCAAGATAGATGCAACCAGAATTGCATTGAATGGAGCCTCTTACGGAGGCTTCATGGTACTTGCTGGTCTGGTCAATTATTCGCACTTGCTCCGTTGCGGCGTGGTGCAATCTGGTATTGGTAACTGGGTAACCTTCTTGGAGACAACGCATCCTTCTTGAGTCGCTTTTGCGAGGCAAGACTACCTGATATTCATGCTAAATCTAACTAACAACACATCCTTCTGGTAGGGAAGAATATGGGGACGAGCGTGATCCAAACGTTCGGAAATTCCTGGAGGATATCTCTCCTCTGAATCATGCAGAGAAAATCAACGTTCCTCTGTACTTGTGAGTGGCATAAACACGAGGAATGCACGACTGACACAGTGCGTGGCTAGAGTGCATGGGGAAACGGATCCCCGAGTTCCCCTGAGTCAAGCTCTGACCATTTTTCAAGCTACTAATACGAAGAATTTGGATACATGGCTGGTGATTTGCGAGAACGAAGGTCACACGTACGTAATAGATAAATGTGTTTGTGATATGTATAGCTTGCTGAGTTTCCCTTCCTTTGCAGGTTCAGAGACAAGTCCAGTGCACGGTTCATTTCCGCAAGCAAGGCGGCTTTCCTGAAGAAGTGGTTGTTGGATACCCACGTGGAATAGGCGGGTAAATGCGGGATTCCTATGAATTATATGGATCCTAGACTCGATTATAAGTGTCTCCCCACCCTCAAGTTGTGCTCATTCCCATGCATGTGGATATGGTTGGGACAAACGCTGTATCATGAGTCGCTTTAATCTCGCTCGACGTTTCCGGCGCCACATTATTCTCAGTAGACTGACGATTTTCTCTGTTCCTTCCTGTAAGTTGACCTGGTTACATAGTCAGTTGAGCTTTTGAAAACTAGCGTATCACCTACCTCTCCTAATCTCACCAACTTATCACTTTCAGTCTTGGAAATCTCGAACCTAAACGTGGATACCGAGAAAGGGTTGAACCCGGGCAAGGCTCTATCGTTCGCCAATTGGGGTGTGTAGACGACGCCAATTCCGTCTTTGTTTGCAAGCTCCTGCTCGTCCAGTACCTCTACTTTAGAGCTCGTGGCGTCTTCTCCTGTCGAGCCAATCCAGATTGTACATCCAGCGATGGGCGGTGGAATAGGCGACTTTGCTGTTATCATCGGATCAATGGCATCGATTGCTGATGATGTTCCGGCCTTTCTCGAGGTTGGCGCTGGTATATCTCGAGCACTCGATCGTCCCTGTCTTTCCGCTTGTCCAACCAGCTCTGTTTCCTGCAACTCAGCAAGGCGTCTTCCAGCTGCCTCTTCTGTTGATGACCGTTCTTCTGCACTGAGGACCACGTCCCCGCCCTGTGGATTCGGGTCCATCACGGCCGTAGGCCAACTGGCTCCTTTCGGCCATGTCTTCAGGCCATGACGCAGCGCATACTCTTGGAAAGAACGTAAGGTAGTTGCGAGTTTGGGAACATCTATAACTCACCCTCGATCCTTTGAAAATGGAGGTCTTGAGAGTCAACAGACGCGTCAAGAGAAATGATGCAGTCCACATTCCGTCGAAGAAGAGGGTAGTATGGGACGTTGATCAATGCTCCCGCGTCCTTCCTTCAAGGTTAATTTCATACGTATGGCATAAAGAAAAGTTGAACGAACCATTAGCCCAAGTGTCTCACGCTGAGCGATGCCCGCTGGACCGCCTTCTCGGAGTCCATCCATGTTCTTAACAAAGTTTGGTAGCTGCAGTGATCAATCAGCCAGAGTTCGCCATGCAGATAATTACTCACTTCGGTTGGCAGAATAGCATGAGTAACCTGCATATCATATTTTCGCTCATCTATAACGTCCGAGAGCCAATCATACAGCCCCGCTGGCAGAGTCCTCAGCGCAGGCTGCATCTCCCTGAAATAGTCCTGCAACGTCGCACAGAACGCGGATGATACGATCCCCGCGAGGATAGTGAGGCTGAGCTCTGGCCTCCTCTCCAGATTCCTGCCATTGTCGAACCTCCTCCCTAGGCTCCAGCTGGGGATCCACGCGCCTAACTCGTCACAGCCTACTTCGTACGGGGTCCATTCGAACCAGAGCCAACTGCTGAGACTCTCGATCGCTTGTTCTGTTTCTCCTAGGCGGGTGTGCGTCTCTTCGTCCACTGCGGTTTCCTTCTCTTGCCTGACCTCCTTCAGGGGCTGTTGTGCCGCAGGAGGGATATCGTGCATCACGCCCGTGAGGATAGGCAGTGGGAGGCTGGCAGAGGAATCTAGCAGCCGGCGAAACCTGTGCAGGCTTAGGAAGCGGGGATCGACGGTTGTATTGGGGTCGGAAGGTACAAACAGGCGGGAAGAGATGAGCGTGCCGTAGATATCGACGAGGCTGACCTCCGCTCCTGGGGCAGCAGCCTTGCGCATCAGCCCGCTGAGAAGGTACTTGTTTGTTGGAGGCGTCGTCATAAGATCTAGTGTCTCCATGTCGAAGTAGCTCTTCTGTACTCGCATGGAGAGATGCTGCGCCAGCCGTTCAATGGGCGGCGCGTCGCCCACCACACCGCTGTATAGCGTGGTGATCGCCCAGCAGCTCCCTGATATACCGGCAAGGTAGGTTGTCACGTCCAGCAAACCGCTGTTCTGAGCAGCGAGCAACGACCCAACAGTATTAAACATCGCTCTATACCCTCCTCCAGAGCACGCAAGCGCAACAACAGGGATATCGTCCTCGTGCACCTCGCGCACGGGCACACCCATGAGTTTGGCAAACGCTGTTCGCATCCGGCGTTTCCTTTGCCGGAGGAATGCCCGTTCAGGCAAGCACAGCTCCTCCCCCAGCCGGACAGTTGCGTCCCACTCGCACTCGGGGTTGACATCCAAGTCGGGAGGGGCGTTCACTACCTCGTCGTAGAGCGATCCGGGGCCCAGGGAGTATTCGAGCATTAAGGCGGAGACACGGGATTGCAGTGTTGTGAGAGAGGAGGGCCACGTCCATGAGGAGGTTACGCGGGTGATGGTGTCGAGAGGAAGAGCAGACCGCAGGAAGGACAGACCAGAATGTACGATCGTCTTGTTGTCGTTGCCCCCCTGTAAATTGGATCAGCACATGGGCGGCAGGAGTGTGTATGCGCGATACCTCTCCATCCTCACTAACACCCGAGGCTGCCTGTCATCCTCGTCAATACCCTCATAACAACCACGTCAGTCCAAGCGCACCTTCTCTCTGCTCTCTCCTTTCCTCATCAATCCTTCTAGCACGCTTTTCTTTCTCCCTTCCATTGCATCATCCGCAGCGAACCCCATCCTCATCTTACCCTCCGCCCCCGATTCAGTGCTCGCAAGTGCCCATCCCAGCACGCCAAGCACAGAAATACCAGCAGCAGTGAACCAGATTATAGGAGCTGCGCAGTATCAGTTCACCGCAGCGGATACATATGGTAGTCGCACAGATAGAACGTGTTGTCGCGTGCGACTTCTTTGCCCAAAAGGCGGCGTGTCGCCGAGCGAGGGCTCGTCGCGAAAGGACGACGCGCGCCCCGCCCAGTATTCTCATCTAGCCTACTAAAAAGTGTTGAAGGTCTATATTTCAGCAGCCATTCGACTTTATGGTCAGCAGATAGAAGGCGGCGAAAGATGGCGAGATGTTGGGAGCGCTTCGTGGATATAGGGTACATCCGATATCAACCCGCCCCATCAGACAACAACCAAGACACTATTAACTGCCCCCCCATATAAATATATACAAACAGTTACAGCTTACCAAGAGTAGGAGTACAACTATACATCCAAAATGAATTCATTCCATTGTCTTTCTTCTTCATATTCTTACATGACGATCTCCTTGATCACCTCCTCTAACGAGCGCTTCGGAACATCCTCAAACAAGTGCTTGCTCCGCTCCTCATCCTCCACATCCTCACCCGTTTTCTCATCCAAGTAAAGAGCCACAGGCTTGCGGCTGAAATCGCTCCCTCCTTCGTACCAGATCCTATTGAGCGTGTAAACAGTGGCGTAGGGATCTTTCTCCGCCCATTTCTCTTTCTCCAGCTTGCGTAGCTCGTCCAGCGGGGTGTAGATCGTGTTGAGTTTCTTCCCGAGAACGGACTCGAACCCCTTCAGCAGCTCGGCAGGCTTTGCAGTGAAGCTTGATACGCGGAGCGTAGCGTTCTTCGTAGTCTCCGGCGGGGCTTGCACCGCGCTCAACACATACCTCGCAGTGTCGCTGTAGGTCGTCCCACTGATCTTCTCCTGCTTCTCCGCATCTTCCGGGCCTACAATCCCGTACGTACCATTACCCATATTGAGTCCGATCCTGGGCATACGGGAGATGAAGAACGTATCCGCGAACGGGCCTGTGACCACATAGGTGTACGTGATCTTTCCTTCCCGTGCGAGAGCCTCGATATGTGCGCGCACTTTGAGCTTGTTTTGGTGCGGGATCTCGGAGGGTGAGGTTACAGGAGAATAGCGGATGTCGGTGCCGTACTCGGAGGGGAAGAACCGTTTGGGAGGGGTGAGGGAGGCGGCGATGCTGATCAAGTTGGACTGGAGGTGAAGCGCACCGCGCCCGAGGGCAGAGACGATCGTGTCGAACCCTACAGACTTGTCAAATAACAATAATGAATTGGGCAAGACACTCACCAGAGAAAGTCTCCTTCACCTGGGCCTCGTTCCCTAGATCACCAACGATAACCTCAACACCTGAGGCCTTCACCTTATCCACCAGTTCCTTCTTCGTACCCACTGTATTCTGCGACGTGAAGATAGCAACGCGCTTGAAGCTGGCAACTTTGGGCAGGAAGGCATGCAGGATATGATACCCTATCGTGCCGGTGGATCCGATAAGCAGGACTTTTTCGAGCTTGGTAGCCATGTTTACTTGGAGAGATGCTGTCGCTGCGGCACAGGCTATATAACTGTAACTTGAGCGAAGAGAGAAGACCGTCGCATCATTGCCATTACTTCTGTGCTGACTGATTTAGTTGGCGCGGTCCATGGCGCCATCGGTGTTAAACCCTTCCTATGACCAATAATATCAGTACGTTATGTAAGCAATCGCCCTCTCTCGACCTTGTACAGTCCCGTGACCGCCCCTTCGGCAGCATTCATCGGTTCTCTCGGCCATGGCCGACAGGAGCTGCCGGTCCGCACGAGGTCGGGGCGAGTCGCAACCCGGCCGATCCGCCGAAGCGTACATTACACTCGCCCACAAAGGAAGTGAACAGCACCGGAGAGCCAAGAGCAGGTGACACAAACGAACAGCCGCCTCCACAGCGTTCCTACAGCCGTTCAATTCGTGGATTACTCCGCCGACAGGTGTTCGCCAGTTACACCATCCCTTGCCGATTGTGGCTTCCCCACAGCCGTTGGTGCCGCCAGAAAGGTGGAGGTGCACCTGCTCTTCATGCACCTGCCCTAGTTGTACCAGGTCATACCAGCATTCCACCTCCAGTAATGCGACTTCGTTGAGTGGACTCACAGCCTTTCCGTACATCTGCGGGATCCATAATTAACCTGACCTCGTCTGGCGGAGGGCCAATCGTCGCCTTCCTTTCGGCACATCGGCCAGGTGTCCCGCACACATTCTATCCCTCAGGTGTATTTAAGAAGTGCGGGGCTCCACCACGAGAACATTCCCCGCAGTGGTGTCTTGTGCCCCGCTTTCTCCTTGCTTGACCATCGTTTATCCCTTCACGTGCTTCATCATGCCGCCCTTCAATCGCGAGGAGTACGAGTACAAGGACTATCTTGTCAGTGACCCTCTCTTCCTCGAACAAGTCTCATGCTTACCTCTCTTCCATTAGCCCACCTACCCCAAGATCGACTACGAGCCCCATGTCGAGCTCAAGCATGACGATCGCGGGCACTACGCCGACCTGGAGATGAAAGCTCTCCTCGGCGCTGCGACAAAGGTCGACGATCTGTGCGCTTGCATCGGCACCCAGCTGGATGGGATCGACCTCCGCCAGCTCACGGACAAGCAGAAGGACGAGTTGGCCCTGCTCACGGCCAAGCGCGGTGTCGTCGTCTTCAAGAACCAGGCGGCGACGATCTACGACCTGCTCGACATCGCACGGCATTACGGGCCCCTGCACGTCCACTCCACCACGGGCGTGCCCACCGCCCGCAAGCTGGAGGGCGTCCACGTCGTCTGGTCAGACGGAACCAAGGACTTTGACCGCATCGAGATGGAACGCCTGAAGTCTTGGCACACCGACCAGCCCTACGAGATCAACCCCCCTGGTCTGACCTCGCTCAAGGTCATCACCGACCCTCCCGCAGGAGGGGATACCATCTGGTCTTCTTCCGCAGCGGTGTTCGCCTCCTTCTCTCCCCAGTTCCAGCGCTATCTCGAGTCCCTCTACGCGCTCCAGAGCTCTGAGCACCAGAAGCTCCGCGCGCTCGCCGCCGGCACGTACATCCGCCGCCCGCAGACCGACTTTGTCCACCCCGTTGTGCGCGTCCACCCCGTGACGGGGATAAAGGCGCTGTACGTGAACCCGTCGTACACGCACAGGATTGTCGGAATCCCCAAGGCCGAGTCGGACTTCGTGCTCAAGTTTATCTACCAGCAGATCCTCGAGTGTGAGGACTTCAAGGTCCGTATCCGCTGGAGCAAGGACCAGGTCGTGTTCTGGGACAACCGCGTCCTCTGGCACACGGCGACCTACGACTACTACCCGTACAAGCGCCATGCTCTGCGTGCGACTCCCGTTGCCGAGCGCCCGGAGAGCGTCGCGGATTACGAGAAGAGGACGGGTCAGAAAGCCAAGAACTGGTACGAGGAGAAGATGAAGGCTATCGGAGAAGATATTTCTGTGCCAAAGCCTGTGTTCAAGCCTGCCGGTGCCGACTAAGAACTGGCACTTCTTTAAGTAACCGAATCGGTACTTGTTTGTAGTTCTCGCTCGATGTAGGAATAGACACACGACGTGGTTGACGCGTAAAAGACATATAAGCGGAAAGCATGCCCGAGTCAAGACTGTGTACATCCACCACCAGTTATATAGAACAGAAACCAGGTAACGTTTGATATAACTGAATATTCGTAGTCGTCGTCAAGACTTCCGGTGGGGAAATTAATTCAACAGGTGGCAGTGCGCCGAGCCCTGGCGCCATCTGACCCCTGATACGCAAGATCACACACGGTAAATAAAATGTATTTGAATGCTTGTTGTATCTCGACTGGGCAATGGTGGACACTGTACGTGGACCTGGCTAAGCTAGCTTGCGTCGAACGTCCATGGCTCGATTTACGACTCGTTCAGTCTGGCTAGTTCTCTTCTTTGCTGGGCGGCCTTCACACATTCGAGCCACTGATCCAAGCACAATTTCAGCATCTTCGTTGGCCAACCTCTATCAGCTGTTCACGTCAAGCACCCTCTCATTCCCCAGCACGACGCTATCTCAGCCGTCGACAGTGAGCTATGTACAGAGCTCGTGGCTCTTGGCGAACAATCTCGTCGAGAGTGGGCAGACGGACATGCTGTTTGTAGAATCTCCGAACTATGCGGTTGGTATGAAGAGGGATGAACGAGCGCTTAATGACGAAGAGGCATCATCTGCTTCGACTTCTTCTCGCAAGACGAGCACGACAACAAAATCGACTTCTACGGTTAACGCAAAGGCCCTGTCAGCGACGACGACGACGACGATGACAGGGACGACATCTCTCCCAACACCCGCGGTCCTGCAAATCACCTATCCCGCCAACTCCTACTCCCACCAAACAGGCGGCGCAGAGTTCTACTCCCTCCCATTCGGATCCACCACCCAGTACACGACCATGCTACTCACGTACGAAGTTGCGTTCCCTCCCAACTTCAACTGGGTCCAGGGCGGCAAGTTGCCTGGACTGAGGGGAGGTCCGGATAGGGTGGGATGTTCGGGTGGAGCTCAGCCGGATGGGAGTGATTGTTTCAGCGTGAGATTGATGTGGAGACCAGGAGGAGCAGGAGAAGGTATGTCAACTGCGCTCATGTTCCATTCACCTGCTGAACCATCCCACAGTGTACGCCTATATTCCCACTACGCCGGCGTTCTGCTCGCAATCGGAGATCATCTGCAATTCCGATTACGGCGTCTCCATCCAACGCGGTGCCTTCCACTTCTCTCCCAACACATGGCAGACCATCTCCCTGCTTGTGCAGCTGAACGACCCCTCCGCCGCCAATGGCTTGGTAGAGCTGTACGTCAACAATCATCTTGCGATTAGCCAGCCGGGACTCGTCTTCCGCACGAACGAGAGCATAGCTAGCATAGGTGGGATGTTCTTCTCAACGTTCTTCGGAGGAAGCGATCCGAGCTGGGCGACGCCGACGCAGCAGTACACATATTATCGAAATGTGGAGCTACGGGCGGGCACGCCAAGCAACAACAACGGCAATGGTGGCACCTCAGTTATCGGATCAACATGGTTAGAACTGGTGGCTCTCCTGACGACCATAGTTTTGGGGATTTTCATGTTCTGAAAGCATTGGAATCGCTTGATCGATACACAGGATCTGTACACTATATCCCTTCACTTGATATCTTCTGTATTCCAGCACATATTGATACGATTTCCCAGCTATGTAACCCTGGTCCGGCTTTTTTGAAGCAGCTTATCAAGGAGGATGTTCCTGAAAGAAGGCAGAACATGATTTCGGTATCATCGCTGCCAGAATCAGACGGAGGCACAGATCACATCACCGGTAAAAGGACTGCGGAATCCGGGGCAGTCATTGTGCTCTGTGACATGTTCCGTCGCACGGCAGGTAAACAACAGTTCAGCGCTGGCAAGACCCTCGTGAGAGTACTTAGACGACATAAGTACTTAGACGACATAGACACCCTAATTCTCTCTGATCCCCCCAGGTAACATAATATTGTGAACATGACGAGTGTGAATGTGGAGGAGGGCGCGTTTAGGCTGAAGTAGCATGGATGACATCTTGCGTAGCCCTGTTCCGCTGGCATCGGGTTAACGTTATTGGCCGAGAAGAAGGCCAATATGCACGCCGGAACCACGTCGAGAAGCGTATAATGACGCGACGTTCTTGAGCTGTAAATAGGCCAATGAAAGAAGTGAACAGTAATAGCTGCGGATTAACACAAGGAGGCGGTGAGGACAATAAGAGGTTAGTGCCGACCAACACGGCATACGACTCTAAAAATACTTGGCACGCCCAGCAGGATCATTGGGCGCCACAACAACACCGCCCTCTCACCTCTCTCTTTCTCTCCATCACCTTCATCTTGTCGCATTATTCGACATCTGCTTTTCTTATCCTTTCATCTGCTTTACTTTTCTTTCAGCTTGAACTTGACTGACTTTAACAAATCCCACATCGCCTACCTAGGCAACGACTACGAAACATCCTAACAATGTCAAAGCCAGGCGTACACCGCGTGCGCAACCTTCTCATCATCGGCACAGTATTCGTATGTGTCGTCCTTGCCGCAGTCCTCGGAGGGGTCCTCGGCTCCCGCGCAGCCAAGAACAATACCTCGAACACCTCCTCTAACGGGTCATCCAGCGGCGGTAGCGGGGGAAGTAATGGAGGCAGCAACGGAGGCAGCAATCAGCCTAGTATAGCCGGCGTGCCTGGTCGGTTCGCAGTGGCGACGGATACATGGGGGCATCCGATCTACCCTACCGCCGTACGTTCTCCCTGCTGCTCCTAGACACTACAGACTGAAATGTGTGCAGACCGGCACCGCACAATACACGGCGCCTACCATTGACCCCGCAGACGCCCTCGTCACCTGGCCCCCAGACCCCTTCCAACCCTCCAACCCCTCTCCCACCCAGGTGCGCACCGATCGCCCACGCTTGATCGCCCCTGCCTACAAGTGGGAAGCCCTCCCTGGCCTGATCGCGAAAGATGCTTACCTCGCCGGGTGGAACGCGACCATCTTCGGGAACGCGAGTGCGTATGCTGCTGGTCCCCTGACGAACTACTCCATCGATGGCTGCCTTAGCTGCTCAGGCGTGCTCGACGTCGCTCGCCAAGTGAAGGTCAAGGTCAAGTCATGGGCATATGCCTACCGTATGACGAACGACTCCACTTGGCTCGACCGCACTTGGGAGGAACTGGTGAACGCTGCCGGAAACAACAGCGCGAACTACTTCGGTGTCCAGGGGAACAACTGGAACGACGTGCATTTCCTCGACTTGGCCGAGTTCACTGCCGCGTTCGCCATTGCCTACGACTGGATGTACGACGGCTGGAGCGACACCCAACGCACTGCTATCATGTGGAGCATTATTGACCTCGGCTTGTCGTACGGTATTGCCGCATACACAAATGGTGACAACGGCAACTCCTGGTGGAACGCGGTGAACGGTAACTGGAACTGCGTCTGCAACTCTGGGCTCACCATGGGTGCCCTCGCTATCCTGGGCGACGACCCCACCGGCTCGGCCACGCAGATGCTCGGGTATACAGTTGACAACGCCAAAGCAAACTGTGCCCAGGCTCCTAGCTCGGACGGAACCTGGAGCGAGACCGCCAACTACTGGTACTTCGGCACTATGGCGTTTTCAGAGATGACAAGCTCTCTCATGACTGCCACTGGGAGTGACCAAGGCATGTTTGACGCCAACCCATCGTTCAACCTTACCGGGCTGTACCATATGTACGTTACCGGCATGACTTCGTTGTTCAACTATGGTGTGTTGTCCTGTTTGCAGTGCATATATGCGATTCTGAATATATGCTAGGTGACTGCGGCCCGAACAAGTACTCCACCAACGCCAACGGCATGATGCTCTTCGGCGAGCACTACAACGCACCGCGGTACATGCTCTTCCAGCGTGACCAGTTCGACGCTGCTGAGCCCTGGTCTATGTTTTGGTACGACCCTGCTGTCTCCGGTGCTTGGTGGGATGACCTGCCCCTGGACCACTACTTTGACGACCCGAAGAACACGTGGGCCTCTATGCGCTCAAGCTGGACAGACAACAACGGCCTTTACATCGCTATGAAAGCTGGGAACCTCACGGACCACCAGACGCATGGTGACCTCGACTCTGGCGACTTCGTCCTCGACGCGATGATGCAGCGCTGGGCGGGTGAGCTTGGTTCCGGGGACTACGACGCTCTGGATTACTTCAGCAGCGAGGGCCAGGATTCCTATCGTTGGAGCTACTATCGCAAAGGCACAGAGGGGCAGAACACTGTCCTCCTCAACGACCAGAACCAGAATGTGCTCGCCTCCCCCACAGGTAACTTCGGCTCCTCGGGTACCGTCCAGCCTGCGGCGACAGAATTCACCCTCCCATCGGACAGCACAGCGTTCTTCACTGCGGACCTGACGAGCACGTATAACGGCACCTCGCTTCTGCGCGGAATCAGGATGCTCAACACCCGCCGCCAAGTCCTGCTGCAGGACGACATCAACACCCAAGAGCCTTTCATCTGGCGCATGCACACCAACGCCACTGTCACCATCAACAGCGCTACATCAGTCACACTCGCCCTGGGTGGGGAGACGATGTCTGTGGAACTCCTGAACGCAGCTTCCGGCGTTCAGTTCTCCACTATGCAACCAGTGAGGTTTGATACCGATATGCCCCTCCCCAGTGGCGCGGTCGACCAGCCCAACCCGGGCGTGACGGTGCTCACTATCCAGCTTCCCGCAGGCCAGTACTCTTTGCAAGTGCTGTTCAACCCCGAATGGCCGGGTATGCAAGCGAGCGACTTTGTTACCCCTCCTTCAGTCAGCGTCAGTCAATGGTCTCTTACCTCCCATAACTGAGGAATTGGGCAACTGGGCAATTGAACAAGTTGATTATACACCTGGTAGCAACGGACTGGACCGGATGTCGTGTAGCATTTCGTACGCAAGCACTCATTTTATCAGAACGGACAGAGCATACCACACCTCTAGTAGAGATCTCATAGTTCCTTTGTATTCCATTCCCCTCAATCACACACTCTCTCACCCACGACCAACTAGGACACTGGAGCTCACACCTCCCCGCCAAACGGCTTCCCCTCGATAGACTCGGCATACTCTTTCACCGTCGTCCACTTCCATTTCTCCTGCCCTGGGTTCACCCACTCATTCGCACAGTCCTTGCTGTTGTCCAGGTCCCCCTGACCCATAAAGAACCTCAAGCACCCAGCGGCGTTCCTATCACCATCAAGTGTTTCCTGCTTGAACGGTGCGAGCTCCTTCTTGCGAACTTCGATCTCCTCCCCGAGGATGGTGCCGAATATCCTCGCCACCTCGCTGTAGCTCACCGCATCCCCACATACGCGCAGGTACAGTGCCGCGGGCAGCTTGTCCACCTCCGCAAATGCCTTGACCACAGTCTCTGCCGTGAGTCGGCCCACATCCGGCAACGCGGTATACGCAACCTTCTCGTCAGCACCGATATACTCCACATACTTGTTCTTGATGCTAATGCCGAACCAGGGGCCGAAGGAGCCTTCCATGAACAGGCCTGTGTAGATGGAGATGACTTTCTTCTCCGTCTGCGAGGTGAGAAGGTCGATCACGGCTTTCTTCCCATCCCAGTCTTTTTGCTGTCTCTGGATGTTAGCTGACAATCTACAACACGTTATGAAAGGACGTACACTGAAGTCCACACACCGGTGATCCACACCAAATTCGCTCGGGATGATGATCTTTACGCTTTTCACGCCCAGGACGGCTTGCATCAGCGGCACCTTGACCTCTTTTCCCGCCTCCTTCGTCCCTATTGCACTGATGAACACATCTGCGCCCTCGACGGCGGCAGAGACGCTGGCCGGGTCGGTATAGTCTACCAGGCGGATCTCAGCGCCTTGGTACTCGAAGGATTGGGCTTTCTCGGATTTGGAGCGCGTGAGAACACGCACGGTCGGGTTTGAGGGGTGCGATAGGAGCCCGGTGGTGATGTAGGACCCGAGGTAGCCAGTGCCTCCAGCGACAGCGACAACAACCATTTTGAGCAGGTATGGGTGGTGGATTGTAGGTGATCAAGAGCGCCCTGCTGTTGGACATGGCTCCCCCCATATATATATACGGGTTTGTATCACATCGTGGAGGCGTATTGCGACTCGCAGCATGTACAACATTCCTTGGCCTTCGGAAAAACATTCAGGCGCAACTTATCTCAGCTTTATTACAACTCATTCACGTCAAGTGGAACAGCGCTTGGACCTTGGACCTTGTGTGAAAATGTGTGAATAGATTGCTAAGGGTGTTGAGTTATACTATCCTATGCGTGCAGAGTCCTCCAATGTTAATAATATGCGTGGAAACAGATCTCTTACAACTCTTTCTCCATCGAAGGCGTACCGTCCTTCCCACTTCCACTCAGGACGGTCGCAACCTTCCCAGCCATGTCCAAGATGACTCTAACGAGATTCGCGCATGCTGACATAGACCAAGTACTGCAGCCCTTAACCAGCTCGCCGATTGTTGTGTAGAAAGTTTCTTGTGCCTCCGGCGTCCCAGCCATAGGAGACGCTCCGGGAATCGGTTGCCGCGGCCGTGTAGCTTTTGATCGGCCAGCCTGTTCTCCCTTCATAGGCGTCGCTTCGTCTCCTTCGCCGATGTCTTGCAGCACGCGCTCGCTCGCGGCCCACATTTCGCGGAAGCTGCCGGTCATGTGCAAGGCTTCGACAAAACGGTGAAGCGTGTTGACCATGGCAACGATCTCAGTCCGTTGGAGAAAAGCTGGATTCGTCCTGGGGCTGTAATGATATCAGCATTATGAAATCAGGCCCAAATTATGTTGACGCACTTCAGAGTCCGCTCGTCCAGCTCGAAGAGAATCTTGAGAGCAGTCCCAACGCCAGATGTCTGAATCTTGCCCCAGAGCCGGCATTTATCACACCCAACACAATCCATAATAAGGGACACGTTTCGGAAATGAGCCTTAAACTCTTCCTTCAAAATCTGAAAGGAACGATAAGTCTAAATTCGATATTGGAGTCACCAGTACGTACCGCGTTTTCGCCCTTGAACAGCGCGTGCTCGTCAAACCTCCCAATGCGCTTGGCGACGTCCAGTACGGAGGTGAGGACATTCTTCGTCTCCATGTCAGCAATTGGGTCGCCAGTTCTTAGGTCATATGCGGAAAGATAAGGCTCCAACCGTGTCAGGGCTCGCAGGAGAATCACCACATTGAAATAGATGTTTTGGAGCCGTTCGGGGTGCGCAGCAACACGGCTGATAAAGCACTGTAGGTTTGGCCCCTGTATATTTTGCGTAAGTGTCGAAGGACAGAGAAGAAAGAAAGGGACAAACCGATTGGCCGGTACGTTGATCAACGAATTCCCTGCAGAGATGAGTGGATATCGATGCGTGCATGCCTTACGCATGCATCAGCCCGTTGTTCTAGACGTATCAATATAGACATACCGGACACGATTCTGTAATATGCCCGTTTCTCCGTGCATTCGCCCTCCTCTTCCAGCTTGAGCTTGCTCTCCCGCGCAAGCGAGTTCATGCTACTTACAACGGTTGTCGTCTCACTCGGAATACCTCTCTCCTTCAGTCCAAAGCAATTCTCTCGATATATCGATGACCAGACACGCCAGGCGGAATCACCCGCATATCCGGTGAACGACTCTGGATTCAGAGTGAGGTCAATATATTGCGAATCTGCGCACATGCTTAGTCAGCTTTTTCGACGTGGCATGATTTGTCACACCCCACCTCCATTAGCATCATCCAGAAAGCAGAAGTCAGAGTCATGGTAATAGCAACCAGGATATTGCAGGTGGGCATCCTGGTCAGGAGCAGTTCGAACACGACTGAGCGCCTCAGCACGCCATGGTTCAGGTATATCACTCTGAATGAACATCAGAACACTGCGACAGCTGAGCTGAGCAATGCGGAGACATACCTCGTCCAAGCTCTCCACAGCACAACTACGCTGCATACACAATCCTTCATCCTGCCAGAATGGACATTCTCGGAATAAGTCCACCTAAAGGAAACGCGTCAAGTACTATTGAGCATAGGCGAACGCTGAGCGCACCTTGTAGTACTTGAAGAAAGGAGTCTTCACAAGCTTCTCAAGCCTGTCAAAGAGTATCTCTGTCGCGCTCTCTACAGTTTCATAGTCGCATTCTGTTGTCTCAATCGGCCCTGACAACTGCGAGATGAATCAGCGAGTATACGCGACAGACAACTTGAGGTCACATACCTGACCCTCACATTGCCAGGTCTCGTCCTTCGGCTTGTGTTCAAGCACATGCTGAACAGGATTAGAGGGGGCCTTTGAATTTGGCTTGAGAAACGATTGGCTGATTGTTATGGGCCGAGCATTGTTGGTGTCCGCAGCTCCCGCAGATGGGGTGAATGCAATGAAGGACAGCAAGACCAAGGGAAGACAGCGCATGCCGGGGAGCTGCATGGTATTGGTCAATAGTCGTTGTAGATACCGAAGGTGTTGCTGCTCAAGCAAGCTGATAATTAAGACGAGACATGCGTGGGGCACGGTTGGTTGGTAAGTAAATACGGTATTGTAATGGTTCTAACAGTGAGACGTGTAAGGTCGGACGTGGCTGTACCCGCATCGGACGTCCCGTAAATTCATGGGCGCTTGATTCGCCCGCAGCGGGCGGGATTCCTATCTAGGCCCCATGAAGCAAGGATCTCGGGGGGAACAACAACCAGTTTCGTAATTCTTGCTACTTAAACTCATATTTGACATTGGTTCATTGGGAAGAACACCGAAATCACGGGGCAAATCATTCGACGTTGTCAATCGACCCCTGCTACAATAATCTACCCGAGCACGACGTCAGGCTACCAGCTAGAGCTCAAAGTGTGCGTAATGGAACAGGAATATAGGGACATGACAACAAGCGCAGGAGTGACATGCGTTCATTCGACGTGCTTGCTAACGTCCGCAATATATCGGGATGTGCAAGCAAAGCGGAACCCAGTTGGCTCAACTTTGTGCTACCAAAACGTCAACTTCACACGCTAATCGGGAGCAGCAAACAGGTCTACTTACAACATACATGTCGTGCAGCTTACGACCATCCATAACAACAACATCCTGAAGAAACATAAGTCTTGTGGACACTGACAAGATGAAGTACTTACCCCATGGATAAGATTCAGCACCAGACACGGCTTCCTGTGCTTCTTTTGCACCGGCTCCACTTCTTCGTCACTTTCGTCTTCATCCATCTCGTTGTCTGAACTGCTCCCACTAGAGTCGTCGTCCGCCGGATCTTCTAATTCAGTGAGCTCAGGGAGGCTGTCACTCTCGTCATCGCTGTCGTCCCCTTCGTCAACTACCTCCAACTCTTCTGTTTCTTCCTCGTCTTCAGTTTCTTCCACTTCTTCTTCAAGCTCCTCTTCCGCGTCTTCATCCAGCTCTTCATCCTCATCTGATTCGGAGTCGTCGGAGTCTTCTTCATCTCCGTTGTCCTTGCGTTTTGCCCTGAAGGACATTACAGCAGGAGATCCCAGACTCAAAGATGCGACCACGGGCCCGAGGCCAGGCTCCCCATCATCATGGTACTGACAACAATTATATGGCAATCTCAGATCGAGTTAAAGGATACTTACAGCCATGTGTTGTTCATCCATGTAGGCTACTGTAAGCATTTCATTAAATTGAGGATCTTTTGGTGTTACAGAGCACGCCGCTTCGTACACCCTGTGACGGAGAATCAATAAGCAGGGTTCATGATATTGCCGGGACATCCGTACACTTTCCGCGCTTCTAGCATGGACGGAGGGCCTTTTTCAAATGGTGTTGTAGAAGTAGTTGTGATGTATTTGTAGTGTGTTCCCGCTGTACTCGAGTCAGGCCGGAAGGCTGCCTTTTCTCTGAAATCAAACTCACCATTGCAGAGAAAGTGTTGGCTTAGCATTTCACCACGAACTGTTAGCATTGTGGGTGAGATTCAACACCTAATTCCGTCACAATTACTCACTGGTGCTCTGTATCAGTGTCAGAAGAATTAATGGGTAATCATCGGTATCACTTACGTGTCTTGCTGGGAAACGATGAAGAAGATCATGCAGCTGCATCTCCTCCTCGAGTTTCGCGAAGAGAGCATCATTTGGGTCTTCATTAGGATGATGTGGCTTCGGACGCAAGTGGTAGATAATGCTTCTAATGTAGACAAATGACCGTCAACCATGTCAAGCAAGAGCAGGTGGCACACTCACTCGCAGTCGTGGATTTCAAACGCCGTGACGACGTAACGCTCGTCCGCCGTCAAATATTGAGGGCGCTGCCGCACAGATTCGTAGTCAAGGTCGCTTACTGGAGACCCTTGAGGAAGAACGGTACCCTTGAGGTCAAGAACATCGTGTCGAGCAGGAGCAGGAGTTAGCGTTTCCTACCAAGAAGATTACGAAAAGACCTTGGTCAAACATTTTTTGCACTTACACCACATTCACGACATTCCCAGCCTCGAAAGCTACGTCTTCATCTCAATTGTAAGTTTAGGACTCTGAATCCTCCATAGGAAGTGCTCCTTGCCTTTGATTCAACCGACCACAGTTTCTGCAATGCCACCCGCGCCAACCGTCCCTTGTCGTGAGAACACCTTTCTTCAGTTGCTCTGCAGACATGGGAGGAGCCGGCAAGATCTCAGGCAGATCCCATTCGCCCGTTATTTGCACGCATCGTAGAAATTCCGGGTTGAAGCTGAGTCGGAGTGTGTGGGGGATGTGCTCGTACCCACTGGCACCGTCGATTCTCGGCATCTGGTGCCATTTCAGTTTCCGACACTAGTAGAACGTGATATGATACACGACTAACTTTCCAAAATCTCTCTTGGCAAGCTGTATTGAGGCAGATTTTCCCCAGGGTATATACGCAAGGTGAATGCCTTTTGCAGGCTGTGCATTGAAATTCGACTGCGCTGTTAATAAGAAGTGGCATTAAGGATTCTTCAACGGGTAATATGTAAGACTGAACTCACCGTTGAACACTTTGAATTTGGGGTCGGATCAATCCCATCATTTCGATCAGCTCATCATGATTTCTACCCACAAATGTGAGCATTGTATAAGCATGCTTGCTCTGTGTTGCTTACATCTCCGGAAACATTTTTGCTGGTAGGGGTACAGACTGTCTCTCGCGTGCGGATTCTTGATGATTTTGCTTGTCTAGTTCCAATGCTGCTGCAAAAGGCGTCGATTCATTCATCTGATAACTTGAGCGCGCGTTGACGACCAATAATTCAGGCATCGTGTGTTCTTGTGAGGATAGCTCCACCGATGTGTGAGAAATCGATAACTGGGATAAGTCTTCTTGAAAAGTGTAACGTTGGAGATCATATTCTCCGAGTCTGAACACCTCATCCATGCTAATCAAACCAGCGTCCAGGGATTTCCCGACCAGCATTACGCGATCTCTCCACATTCGCTGAAATTGTTCGCCTATCGAACTACAGTCGTCAAATGGTACAAGAGGGGATAGCTGTGCTTCCAGGGGAGTCATATATGCGTCGTCGTCCAATATGGTGGCTGAAATGAGCTGCTGCGGACCTCCCCTAGCTTTGTCGATAGCCTGATTGTTCTTGGTTTCCATAGCATCCTCTTGACGCTTCGCTTCAAGGAGCTTCGTATCGTTGACTTGAGGTTTCCATCCTTCCGGAATAGGATCGTTAGTTAACCACCATGGCTCCCCTTGGCAAGGAAGCCATTGGAACTTGAATTTGACCCGCTGAACAGGGGGATTACCCTCCGCCTCAACCTACAGTGCAACAAACCAAGCGGGTTCAGACAAACTTTGCCTGACATGGAGGTAACAGAGAGCACACACCCAGTAGTCGATAATGAGATACGCTCCAAGGACGATATAATCGCATTCGATACGCCAAGGGAACAAACGGTACTTGCGGCCCGCGAGTAATACGACCGGCTGCTTCTTATGCATAGTCTTCAGAAGTGCTCGGATACGAGCGTCCTCTTCTTCTTGATCTGTAGTCAATTCCAGTCCACCTTCTGCATCACGTTCAGAGTGTCCTCCCCTTCAAATTGATCAATACGGAACAGAAAAAGTTGTATCAGAGACTTACCCGTGAGACACAACAACTTTCCCTTCGGATGCCCACATATCACGCCTGCAATGGCACCGCTTGAGAGGCTAGTCATTAGGGCACTAAGATAACACATACTCGCTGGGACATCCGTCCAGAAGATAACCTTTTACAAGGCCACCTTTGAAATAGCATCCAGCCTCTGTCGCGCGGAAGTAAGGAAGAGATTCGCAGATTGCTTGGCGACCCTGCCGGTGAATGATCTGGTTATTATATAAGGGGTTGTATGAGTGTGGTGCACTCACATATGCCCAAACCGGTGGTCGACATGGTAGCAAAGGTCTAGCATCAAGTTCCTCCGCACTCGATGGTAAAACAGGGTGGTTTGATATTGACGTTGTCTGAGACGGGGCATCATTCGACGAAGAAACGAAAGGATTTTCAGTCCATAGCTCGTTCTGTCCTTGGGTCCACGCAGCGTTCGCTGCATTCTCGATGGTTCGCCGGGCATTGCTCTTTCGCTTCTGTCGATAGGTTAGAATATAATCTGGTTCACAAACAAAGGACGTACAGGTTGCGGCACTACGTGTTTGAAGCCGTCAGTATCGCCTACATTGTCATCTACGCCAGCGCGGATAGTGTTCCTAGAGGCGGGTGTAGTCATATTACCTCTCTTCCGTGGTTGTCGTGGTGTCGTGATAACTTGATCGGATGGCGCGTTCTTCGCCTTCTTTGTTGGTGACATATTTTCGCCGCCTCCTTCTAAGTCATCCCCATCCTGTCTCATACGCTTGCCAACCCTTGCCACGATCTTGAGCGCTCTACGAGAGATATTCCGGCGTAATTGATTGGTGCTTTTCTTGGTACGAGGAGTTTTGGACTTTCCTACTTCAGTTATGGGTATCAGCACGGAAGGAGAAACCCAGGTATGACTTAACTCACTGTCTTTGGGAAACAGTTGTGTCTTGATCTTGCCAGCGCTCTTTCCTAAGAGCAGAATGATTAGAGAGGAGATCATGATACTGAAATTTGCCCTACTCTTGTTATTCACGACAGTCCGTCCACGAGCCGACACTTTCTTCACGGCTATGGCAACCTTTGCTGACGCGCGAGATTTGGTGCCCTTGGCAGCTCTTGAGGAGCTCGCCACAGGCCTGGCACCTTGTACCACAATAGAAGGTTCGGCCTGCGGGTTTTTCCATTTAGTTTCTTTTCTTGCCTTGAGTAGCACCCGATATGCTTCTTGATGGTCATCACTCCACAGGCAATACTGAATTGCTACATAATGGGACAAAACACCTAGTCGAGCTTCGTTGGTGAAGCACTCTGGCGTGACTTTTGCTCCATCCTGATACAAATGATTGTTGATCCAGTTGATAGCAGTCAACAACTCTTTCTCCTGAGCCAAACAAACGTGAGATTCTGGCTTATAACGGAGTCAGATGAAGAACCATGTGATCTTCAACCGAAGGGAATGACTCACGGGACTTGGAACAGTCGCTAAAGATGGTACCAGTTGTTGGGCAATGCGTTTGAATTGTTGGACAATGCCTTTAAAGTAGGATTTATTCGGTAATGGTGCCTTCTTGTCCGGTCGTTGTAGCCTAGAAGACTCGGAGCTGAACGGCCAAGTCGCCTTGTAGGCGTTAAACGCGGTGGACAGCCTACCCTCCTCTTCCACCTGGAGTGTGTTCCACGGTTCCAATTGTGTTTCCACTACCATTGTAGATGAGAATTTCAGATAAAAGAAGAAGAAGAAAGGGTCGATAATTGAAATTGAGCGTGGAAAGAGTATGAGTATAGTGCACAGTGAGGTTGCGTTTCGAAGGCGCATAAATAAACGCGGTCTTCTCTGCTCCCGATCACTTTTGCGCGGAGGATTTTCATCCAGGGTCGTGACTTCACAAGTCACTGCCCAACTTTCTTTGTCTTAGTACTTGTTTTACACGTATTCCTCTCCACCTCAGCCAGCTAGTGGCCAAGAAAAGCCCTCTTACTCCGGTTCGAGCCGAGTGTCGAGACTCGCGAACACCAATGAGCCAGTCGCGGCCCAATGCATGTTGACCATGATACGGCACTGTTTATTCCATGCATCGCGTTCGCCGTGCGACGCCCACATTGATCCTTTGGCTTGACTGTATGACCACCTTCGGTCGATAGATATTGCGAATAAATGAAGCAATTTCTAATGGCACCGGGAACTGTATTGTTCTGGGCTGCGCTGGTGATGGGCTTGATTACATAAGCGGCGTGTGAACGTCCCTGCGCAGCCTCGCAGCTGTGCGCAGATACCTTGATAATTGTGTATTTCTCTAACTATGTCATTATTGTTCTGTGCTATATAAGTCTGCAAATGTGCATCAGGTGCATCATACGTTGCTCATCATAAAGAGATGGATATTCCCTTTGGTGTCGGCGGAGCGTCCAACGAGGCTACGATGCCGCCCCTGATATTCGACGAACCCTCCCTAACATCTGCTCTCGACTTCGTAGGAAACGGCGCCTTTCATCAATTCATCCAATGTCCCCGCACCAACATGCGCGTTTCTTTCTCCGTGGCAGGAGCGAGCAATACACCTGCGATCTTGTTTTGTCCACCGTCTTTCTGCTCGCGTTATGTTGGCGGACCAAACGTAGAGCTGCTGGTGAGGAAGATGGGGGTCAGGCTGATCACGGTTGATCGTCCGGGCATGGGCGGGACAGATAGATGCAAGACTGAAGAGAGGCTTGACATTTCCTGTAGTGAGCGAGATTCGCTTCACCTTGTATGGCACGACTGAGGTTGGACGCAGAGCATGCCGTCAGCGTATTGGAATACTTGGGCATCAAGAATGTATCTCTGCTATCGCATTCGGGTAAGCAATTCTGCATCTGTCCCACCTATCAACTAACTGGAGCTACAGCTGGTGCTATGTACATGTTCCACCTCCTCGCCAACTACCCTGACGTTGTTGGACCATCCCCACGGGTGTACATGGTCTCTGGATGGGTACCCACTTCGATTTCTTCTCAATTCGGCCTCCAGCTGTTCCCTACCTCCCTCGTCGGTACACAACACAATATCCTTCCCGCTCTTTTTCCAGTCATGAGGGGGATGGATTCTGCTTTCTCCTTCTCCAGCGGGCTGATGTTTCCCAACAAACGAGAGAAAGAGAAACAAGAGGACGAGGCGTGGGTCTTACCGGACCGGTTCAGAAAGGAAGGCGAGAAGTACCACCCTAAACCGCCTTTTCACAAGAAATTCGCTGCACCGCCGGAGGTCGACAAGCTACTATATCGTTGTGCGATATCAGAGTCACTTCAAGGCACCTCACAGGACTACCTGCTATGCCTAGGTCGTCGAGGACCTGTGAATGAGGCCTGGTATCACAAGATCTGGGAAGACATCGCGAGGGTCTACGGGGAGAGAAATGATAAAGTCACTATCGAAGCATGGTGGGGAGAGGATGATGGAATGATCCCCGAGAAGGGAAGGAGTGAGTAGAATTCTCAGCTAACATGTACCTCGGTTTGATCATGCTCTCAGAGTGGTTGGACGATCTTATTGGCAACGCGGGCGATGCGATAGATTATTGTTCAGTTCGACTGGAAGGCTTAGCGCACGATGGTCCTATCTTCAGAATTGAGATTGTTGGGGGAATCTGCGAGGATGTACGAGTGCACGGTGCACCAACTGTCTGAGAGGGGGCTCAGCTAGAGCAGATTGATTGCACAATACCAGTAATAATACACGTTATACACCACAGGCATTCAGACCATTAAGGGTGAAAAAACCAGATAAATCTGAAAGGAAACAATACAGCCCTGCAACGTACAACAGGGATCCTATGTAACAACTTCGAAGAGTTGGGAGGGCAGCTCAGAGCCAGGATATCAATGTCCGTTAACCTTCGGTTCTTTCTTCACAGATGCAGAATGTCCATTTGTTTTCGGCGTGCCTTTGCCGCTGCCGTTAGGTTTGTCACCGCCGAGCTTGCGGCGTTTCACATCACGATCATCTACATCGGCAGACTCAGATGATCGCTTTACGGTTGGACGTGCGGCCTCGGCCATTTTGGAGTAGATCGCCTCGAGTTTCTTCCAGCTAACGTGCTCTCGTGGCCAGAAGTAGGTGGTAAAACTGCGAGCAATGATATCAGAATCATCAATTCTGGCGGACTTGGAATTGTTGCTTACATCCACAAATGCTTCTTCCACTTCCCTGCATCCTGCCCGGCAGCTGTCTTGTTCGCGATTACTTGGTCGATGCGACCGCCAATGTTGGAAAGACATTCCTTGAGATGGCGCACTTTCTCCTCACGACTTTGATCTTCATCATCATTGTGCCGTAGCCGCTTAAGGAATGTTTTGACCGGTCGAAGCTCTTCCTTAGTAGCAGCTTCATCCATCGATTCACACTCTGCGTCGGATGACTCTGAATCCGTGTAGGTCGGCGTTGGTCGCCTCTTTTGCTTTTTTTTCGGTTGATCTCCATTTGCAGGCTCTGGTGTTGCACGCCGTTTCTTCGAAGAAGACGCTGGAGCGGGCGGCGGCGGCGCCTCCGGCTTTGCCTTCGGAGTTGGTGCCAGCTTTGCACCGCGCAGAGTAGCCTGCATAGCCTTCATATTCTCCTGCTGTTCTCTGAGGACGTTTAGAAGGTAATCGCCCCGGCGAACCAAATGAATAGCATTGGGGATCAGCTTGTTGGCATCGACAGGCTGAGTGGCGTCGATTTGAGAAGAATCAGCCGCGCTGTGCTTGCCTTCTCCTTTTCCAGCAGCCTTCTTGTCTTCTTCAAGGAAGAACTTGCCGTGAAGATTCAATGCCGGGTCGGCCTGGATGGCTTCCCAATTACCAAACCCATGCTTCCAAGCGCCGACCAAGAGCATCGCATCGTCTTCCGGGCCCCACTTGTTGTTCCAGTTGAGAGTTGGGCGAAGATGCTCGGCAGGAATGCGCCAGGTATAGGGGTCGGTCACCTTGTCCAGCTCTTTATGTAGCAGGGACAAGTCGCGAATGCGAGATACCACGGTGTCGGCGTTGATGTTGGCGACGCCTTTGTACGCAACAAGAACAGCCTTGCTCTTCTGAAGAGGTAGAACGACTTCTCCCGCTTCCTGGCGGGCAGCCCGTTCCTGTCTATTTTTGTCGATTGCATCTTCACAGACTTTGAGAACTTCTTCGGCAGTCTGAATGAGAACTTCGCGGTTCTTATCATCTAACCGTGCCTCTTTGACGACATCTTCGAAGCGCAGCCTGATGTCGCCCCACTTCTGCAGTCCACGGATCAGGACTCGGATATCGCGCTCTACAGAAAGATTAATCATATGTACGTAGAAAGGAGCGAAGCAAAACTCACCCTTTAACTCCATCGACTTTTGAGCGGCTGTTTTTCGTTGAGCACCATTGGCACTGCCAGCTTTCGAGGCACCTTTTGCCTTCTTCCCAGCCGGGGGGCTGGGAGCAAGACCATCAATCTCATACGTGCCAGGTGCGACCTGAGCAGCTGCCCTCTTCCGACCCTGAGCCTGCCTCTGCTCTTCTTTCTTGCGCTCTTCTTCGTCCTTCTCCTTGTCGGCCTTCTCACGTTCGGATAAGGGAATGATATCCTCCCACTCGATGTCGGCCTTGACGTCGCTGATGGCGGAGAATGATTGGAGAAACTCTGCACCGCCGAACGAAGAAGATCCAACAGCGGCAGCGGCCTCCGTCTCGTGGTCTTCGGCATGCTTGAGGATGTCGTCCAGATCCAACTCCGCCAGCTTTTGGGTTTGCTGGGAATCGTCGCTCTTGAACATGTTTTGTGCGCCGTACTTGAGAATTGCGCTCAGCTCTTCCTTATCCATGTTACGAGGATCTGACTGGTCCTTGGAAGCCTCGCCCTTCTTCTTCTTCTTGTCTTCCGTGAAGCCAGAAGTGTCAGTTTGGCCGACGACGGCATATTCCAAGGCCATCTTCGCCTTTGCCCTTTGGAGAACATCTTCTTCGACAGTGTCTTTGCTGACAAAACGGTACACGCTGACATGAGACTTTTGGCCAATACGATGGGCGCGAGCCATCGCCTGCAAGTCATTCTGCGGGTTCCAATCGCTCTAGAGGGGCGTTAAATCACGACACTTCCGGTGGAAGAACCAGCACATACATCGAAGATGATCACGGTATCTGCAGTCTCCAAGTTAATCCCAAGGCCACCAGCACGTGTAGAGAGCAGGAAGACGAAGTCCTGTGAGCCTTCAGAGTTGAAATGTTCAATCGCTTTCCGACGGATCTCCGACGAGACAGTACCTGTCCCCTCATGTCAGATAGGGTCATCACTGAGTCCCTGTTAAACTTACCATCAAGGCGCTGATGCTGGTAGTTACGCATCGTGAGGTAGTCAGAAAGGATATCCAAGAGCCTAACCATTTGACTGAAGATCAACACACGGTGACTGTCGGTCTTCAAGCGATGCAGGAGTTTGTCAAGAAGGACCATCTTCCCACTCGACATGACGATGCCTTTGAGCTGTTCTTCCGGGTTGTCAGAATGTTCCTCGCAACCGTCGAAGAGGTAGGGGTGGTTGGCAGCCTTCTTCAGCTCCATGGCTGCGTGCAACGTTCAGCACAGTTCAAGATATCTCTAGGAGTAGCATACCAATGTTGAGCAAACTGATCTGAGGACCCGGGCCGCCGCTGGGCCCCTTGTTCTTGAGCACAACGAAGTTCTTCGTCAGGATGTTCTTGTAGTAATGTCGCTGCAAAGCTGACATCTCCACGCGAAGAATACGTTCAGACTTTGTCGGCATATCCTTAACAACATCCCGCTTCAACCGGCGGAGCATCATGCCGGACAATTGATCCTGCAGCTGCTCGATGAACTTCTGCTGTTCTTCCGGTGTCGCGTGCTCGTACTCGTCAGCAGTGGTCAGAGAATAGTGCTGAGGAGCGAGGAAGTGCATGAGGGCTAGCAGCTCTGCCCGGAGCATGAGCGGTGTTAATGTGGAACAAGCGCATACACGTACCCTTAATACTGTTCTGCAGGGGTGTGCCGGTAATGAGCAGCTTGAACGCACAGTTGAAGCCAAACAACGTCTCGTAAAGCTGCGCGTCGCTGTTCTTCAGCCGATGCGCCTCATCTACGGCGAGTGCCTGCCACTTGATACCCTGCAGAGTATCGCGGTCCTTGAGGATGTACTCGTAGGTAGTGATGAGCACGTTAAAGCGGGGCTTCCGGTTGCCTTTTGGTCCCGTGTAGAACTCATACTCTCGGATTACCTCGCGAGAGCGCGCACTACCGTACCAGACAACCCAGTACAGATCAGGCGCCCAGGCGTTAAACTGATCGCACCAGGCAGGCAGGGTGGACAATGGGACGACCACACAAAATGGACCGTGCTGGTGGCGGCTGTGTGCAAGCCATGATAGGAAAGTGACAGTTTGAACACTGGAGACGGATGAGTTATGGACTTCGGGGACATTAGCCGACTACGCACGTCTTGCCAAGACCCATCTCGTCGGCCAGGATACCATTCTCTCCCTTGGACCAAAGATGTTGCAGCCAGTTCAGGCCATGCAGCTGGAAAGGCTTAAGCTGTCCGCCGGTTCTCTTGATATATCCCGGATCTTCCTTCATCGGTTTGTACCCAGGACGACTACCCGTGGGGTAGTGCTCGCTCCTCTGAGGAGCATAGGGGGTGTGAATAAATGCGCTATACTGATCGATGGCCTTCACGCCATCTTCCAATTGGTCAAGGTTTTTCTTGGCTATTAGAAAGTCAGATGAGAAGGCACCGCATGACGAGAAAAGACACACTTTCCCAAGTGCAGTCCTGGTACTGCAATCCTTTCCACTTGCAGAAATACTCGATCTCTTCCTCACCCTGCCTATCGGACAGGATCCGCTCTATTGTCTTGAAACCTTCACTTTCTTCTAGCTTCTGCACACGGTCGATCTGAACAGCTTCCACCTCTTCCCGAGAACCATGCTTCAAAACATGGTTGTACGGCTGCAGCACCTGCTTAATGAAGTTATCCACACGCTTCAGGCCCTTGAAGCGCTTGAGGAACTCGTAGGTCTCCTCAGTGTTGTGAAGATGAGAGAAGCTCTTCCACTTTATGTGGAAGCGCAGGTTTTCGTATGGGAGATCTTCGGGATCGTCAATGCGAGTTTCGTCGCGCTCCCAACCCCAGACGCTCTCAATCTCGTGACTGTCTTCTACTGGACTGTCAGACACCAGCGGAGGGGAATGAAATCAGAAATTGATGTACCTAGTTCAGCATCTTCCTGCGGTGCCCATTGCCCAACCTCAGACTCTGAGTAATCCTCCACATGGTCGGACAGCTCTTCGATGTAGTTTGGCACCTTCTTCTGGTTGGCGCTGAGACGTGCAGCCTCACGCGCATTGGGGTGGTAACTGTCATCATCTGATGGTGATTTGGCCCGTACAGGAACTGGGTAATACATCAGCAGGGCTCATTTACATGACGCATATAGCATACGCTTTGGTCGAGGCTTGGGTTTGCTAGACCCAGCCTTCTTGCTCTTCTTCGTTGGTCGACGGGACGTCTCACGGCTGTCCGAGTCGTCAGACTCCTCGTCAACATCTGAGGGGGATGAGGGTGTTTGGTACGCCTAAGAGGCGAAGAACGGTCAGTGCTGGTACAAGGTGGTATGAATACGGAAGCATATACCTGCTCAGTGCGGTTCTGTGCGTGCGCATACATGGATCAGCACGCGTTGGGATGTGTGCGGAAAGGAGGGGACGTACGGATCGGCGTAAACCATACAGCTCAGGATCGAGTTTAGCTGCCTCAGCAGCAGTGGCCTCCACGCGCTTCCGCTTGCCCGCGACGTCGTTCGCTGAGGCAGTGGCAAGGGCGATGGCTGGGAGGCCGCCCTCACCGTCCGCGTCGGTCAGCTCGCTCATTGATTCGTCGTCCTCCGTCTGAATCTGGTAGTCAGCGTCATCGTCCTTGACGCTGTTGGAGGACGAGCGGTCCTTGTCAGGGGGGGAGCGGTCGGCGGTGCTGGGCACACCGGGGTCGGGAGAGCCATCTGCCGACTGGTCGGAGTAGCGGGGGGAGTTGACGTTGGGCTCGGAAGAGAGGGGAGAGCCCGTGGACGGTGGATGGACAGCAAGGGGCTGAACTGCGGGGGGAGCTGATGGAGGTAGGGGCTGGGATACCGGGAGTGCGGGAGGGGCGGGGTGAGGGGAGGGAGGAGCCGGAGAGGGCGGGTTGAGCATGGACATGAGTGACATGGTGGGCGAAGATGGAGGGAGGGATAGTGGTGTACGGGGAGGGGGACAGCGAGGGGGATATAGACCGGGGGGCAAGGGGGGAGTAAAAGAGGAGGGCGGAAGGGGGGAACGAGGGCGATGGTGTGCGCGCGAAGGGATGGGGGGCCACCCTTTGCCACAGCCGGCGTGACGGCGAGCCGAGCCACTGCCTACAACATGGGCCCCGTCGTCAGACTCGTCACACGGCCCTCTGACGGGCGTGCCTTCGTGCGCTTCTGCGATAGCACACACGTCGTGCTCACGAGAGGTTAGTATTTTACACTAGAACAATGACTATCCCTCCTCCCCCTCCTCCCGAAATAACGTGAGATGTTTCTCATGCACAAATCTACTCGTGTTTTCTATCATCTAAGGGGTCGAAATGAGCGTGCTCGCTGGCCATGCTTTCCGCCAGGGTGCTCGGAAGGCAATGACGCCGCCCAAACTCTGCGGTTTTTTTCGTGTGTCTGAGGGTCATTGGTTGCGCGCGGGAGCGTTATTGCCCCTGCTGATAGGCGGTGAGATACCATCCCCTCCTGGGGTCTTCCCACCACTCGCGCTGGCCCCTCACCGTCCCCTCCCCGGTCAGGAAAGGTCTGCCAACGCCGCAACGGTGACAAACGCACGGGGGAAGATACGATCCAACCGGGCGGTGCGTTGCGAGCGTGGTGTGGGCGTGTTGCAAGTCTCTCCCCTTGCTGTGTGGCTGATCTGCGCGTCGTCCAATCGTCGCACTTGAACGGATACGGGACTGACGAGGGGGTGTTGCAAGAGGATGACCTGTTCCGCACGAGTGCCGTAGCAGCTTCGCCCACGCTCCACCTCCTCCGTCGTCGTCCCACCCATCCCCCCAAACGGAAGCAAGGGCTGTGTTGACCTTTGGTCCCGATCAGACGCTGAGACGCCAGACCCCCATGTCCCCCCGTCGATGTCGTCGCTGTCCATCGAAGCCTCTCTCCTTTCCCAGCGTTCCCCAGCTGACCGACCTTTGTTCAGCCCCTCTCACTCTTTATCCTGTCACACTTCCTCTGCCTCCTGCCCCCTCAGCGACCCTCGCCCTTCCCCCTCTCCTCCCTTGTCCACTCCGATCCCCGTGGTGATATTATCCAGACCTCCCCACTGTCTCTCCCCAATTTCACCCCCCGCAACCCGCCCAGCCTCTCCCCCATCGGCCGATCCCTTGCTACACGTTGTCTGGCTCGCCGGCTGATACGCTCGGCATGATATCCTCCCCGGTCCCCATGCGCTCTCATCCCTCTCTGCGCTGGCAGTTTATCAACCGTATGATTAAAGAATCGAGTGCACACATAACGTATCCCTGTATGTCCTCTCTATCGATTAATATCATCGTTTACCTTGTATATCCAATGCGGCGATACCATCCTTCCTGCTTCCGGTCGTTGCGTACCACCACTCAATGCTGTTCTTGACATGGGCGGAACCGTGCCTAGCCGAGCTCCGTCCGCAAACGACAACTCATCCCGTGCTGCTCGGAGCTCGTCACCTTCCCCAATGTCGTCTCCAAAAGCTGTTTCCCGACAACCACCTGCATTCATCGAGCACGTTCCCGGGATAAATGGATTCTAATACTGCTTTGGCCAAGTCCCATTGACCTCCCCACGTCCGCCCCGTGTGGACGTCGCTGGTTTTCCCGGCATATCCTCCGATGACGTGAAGACGCCCACATGAATGTCCTCCTATATGCGCTCTGTCGACACGCAGCATCCATCGCAACTCTACGTCTTACGATGTCGAGCCGGTGGGAGGTGTCGACATCCTGTGCAAACTACTCAGGTTGAAGCTGCGTTGAGATGATCACTTTGCTCAGGAGGTTTGCGCCTCTTTTCTCGTCCAGTACTAGTGCGACCCGACCGGTAGGATTGAGCATCGGGCAACCTGACTAGGGTTGCGGATGGGAGATCTACTCCCAAGCTCCGACGAAGGTGCAATTGCGGCGTGACTTGCAATACTTCCACGATGGACCGAAAGCCAAAGTGTCACGAACAGACCACCGAATAACAGACCACCGAACTAGCGCTGCCGTAATACTTTCTAGTACGTTAGACCATCTTTCTCCGTATCTGGCCAAAGTAATAGGTCTAATTCCAGGATACCCTTTCTAGATGATATTCGCAGTTTACTTCGGAGCACAAAACCCAGCCCATTAGATGTCGTACGACTCAAATTGTCTCAGGGCCAATTTCGAATCAGCTCAGTCTTACGTCTGGTCTACTTAGGTCAGTATGATCATTACGACCCACCGCGGCTCCGTCCATGAGATTATCATTCCGTGAGGGGAAAGCGCGTTCTATGCATCGTAGAAGGAGCGGACCGAGTCACCGGATATGGGCCGATCCCCAGCTATTAATTCTTCGACGCATTCCGCCGAGGGACGTTGTTCTGGGACGAGGCGTCATGACCTTGAACCCTGTGCGGATGATATATACTTTTGAGAGGACTTATTACTGCGCTATCTCAGCTCAGGAAACCTTGGTCTTTGGACATGGTCCTGGCCATCTGCTTCGTATTGTCAAGGCCATTCATCTGATCCCTTCATACCATCAAGGTCCCTTCATACCATCTAGGTGCGTTCAATACTGAAGCGTCGAAGTCACACCATGGCGCTCGACATTCGATAACCGAGCATCAAACCGGAACTATGCCCGGTGCCTCCCTCAGCACATATGCATACTGCTCTGGTGCCTGAATCCTGACCACCCTCGGAGATGTCCCCACTCGGCGGAGTAGCACGAGCACCACCCGTAGTTCCAGGCCAACCAAAACCCCAACCACGCTCGTCTCATTGTCTCACCCCTCAACTGGCCTTATTTGCCTTGTATAGCAACAAGAACGATTCCCGCTCTGACTCGTCACATGTAATGCCATTTCATACCAGTCTTGGGTGGTGCATACATCTGGCCTTGATAGGCTCCTATCGGATTTCACCGGACCACACGAACAAGGCCACCTCGAGCAGGGTATAAAACTTCACTGGCAGGAGCTGCAAGGCTATCTCTCATCTCAGTCGTTTATCCTTCACACCCAGTCACTGCATTCAACTTTCCACCTTCCAATCCAATCGCACAATGTCCCGCACCGTCGTCGTCGCTCTTGCCGCTATGCTCCTCACCTCCTCCGCGCTCGCAGTTCCCGTCCCCTCGGACATCGACGCACTCGCTGCCGCTGCCGCAGCGGTGGTAGGCGAACCCGACATCCCCAAGCCCGTAGAGGATGTCTCCGTACGTCTCCTCCCTTCTCAATACGCGCATATATCTCACATCTCTCACAGTATTGCGGCTGGAGGCCTTGCCTCTCCTACTGAGCATCCTTCTGTGAAGAACGCTCGACTTGACACCGGCATACAGGCCGGACTGCATTCTCTCTTTTTTCGTCTCACGGTCTCTTTCGAGCGAAACGCTTTCTCTCTCTTCTCTCCTTCGGGTTGACATGTAGTGATACCAGAGCTTCCTCTCCTCATAATGTCATGAAACTGTGTTCCATCTCATCTCCCTACGCTCCTGAAAGAGAAAGGCAACCAGGCCATGTAATATCAGAGCGTTCTTCGGAGATGTCCCCTTTCCCATCAGGCCTTCGCCTGATGCTGCGTGGCGGTGCATTCAGTACTGTAACCCTGTCATACACGCAGTCACCCTGCCGCCCTCTTTCTAGTAATCCTCTCTGTCCCTGTATCCCTGTTTGTACTGTTAACGAATTAAGAGCAGCAAAGATGTCTTGGTGAGTACAAACGTGTCCATGTGTGATTTGACACTAAGTATGATACAGGGCTGGGTGAGTGTTACGAGAACTGCTGGAACGAGAGCTGAGATGGCGCGCAGCATGAAGAAAGCTATGAACCGGGCGGGGACGACGGTATGTCTTCCATTCTCAGATCATGTTGAATGTGGAAACTGAATATAATTGTAGCTGATGCAGAAGACCGGGCAGATCGAGAAGACGGTTGATAGCGAGTTTCAGGATGAGGAGGGACGGTACCGGCAGTGAGCGCATCGTCCTACTCAGGACGAGGAATTGGCTCATGTGGGATAGGTTCGAGAAGGAGGTCAACCAGATGCAAAAAGAGAGCAAGGCCTACCTTGATGCCATGCGCGGTATGTGCCGTTATTCAAATATTATGAGCGCATCTGATAGGCGTCTATTAGCGATGACTTCTACGCAAGCGCGGCTCGCTGAGACTATGGAGATATTCTACAATGCAGCTGATCGTGGGAGCGAGAACGCTATGGCTTGTCATGCGTACAAGCAAGCGGTGGTGGAACTTGATAATGGGATTGCGAGGGAACTGGATCAGCCATACCGGACGGGTATCCTCGAGCCTGTCGGGCGGATGGCCTCTTATTTCCCCACGATCAACGAGGCGATCAGCAAGAGGAACAAGAAAGTGTGTAAAGGACATGTGGGATGAGACTTGGGCTGATGGATGTTTAGCTCTTGGACTACGATGCTGCTCGCAGTAAGTTGCGCAAGCTGATCGACAAGCCCAGCGACGATCCCACGAAGCTGCCTCGCGTACGAGCGGGTTTTATTGCCACCAAACAGGAAGACTGACATATTTGCAGGCGCAAGAGGAGAACGACCAGACGAAAGAGGTGTTCGAGATGCTCAACGAGCAGCTGATCAGCGAATTGCCGCAACTGCTGGATCTTCGAGTGCCCTTCTTTGACCCCAGCTTCGAGGCGATGATCCGCATGCAATGCAAGTTCGCTGAGGAAGGATATGATAAACTCGGCGGTGTGCAAAGGTACGTTTGTGCATTTGTAGCGAGGACATGTATCTGAGAACCGGCTCAGGTATTTCGCTGATAGCATTCGGGATGAGTACGCAGCAGGTCAGCTAGACGGACAAGTGAGTAGAGTCCTGCTCTGTGAGGTAAGTACACCATACTGACTTTGTACCTTTTAGGTAGAGGCTGTCCTACAAGAGATGAAGGATCTTACTATTGTTGGGAGTGGCTGAAGTTCTATGTGTTAGCTTTGTATTGTATTAGTGAAGTAAAGCATTTCAGATTATCATTGTGTCAGGAATCACCTAATTTCGAAATATTGTGATCATCTTGAACCCATGATACAGATCGAAGGACCAAGATAAACATCTTGACCATCTCTTGTGATATCAATGGCTGAGTTGAAATCCTCGGAGTCCCTAGGACCCTGCCCTAAGGTAATCCCTGCTGTACAGTTCTCAGCCACCTTCTTTAGATTGCTTCCATGGCTATAGTAGATAGTCTCATCCCCTTTTATCATTTTGTCCTTAGATCTGATCTCTTAGGATCCTCCACAATACTTGTGTAGTCAAACTAGGCATCAGTATCTCATCAAACTTATCTACTTGAGCAAACTGGGCAATACTGTCAGCTTGTGCTCTTGATATCCTAGTGCTCCTCTTGATACTTCTCTTGACCTCTGTTGACACCACCATTACCTGACAATATCTGCCAGCCTAGTCTTGCAATATCTTGGCCTGGTGGCCTTGCTCTCTTGACCCTCAACACATCTGTGAGGGCAACATGATCCAGCAAGGCTCATAATTGAGAACTCTGAACGGAGATAAGAAGAGATCAAAAGGAGATTTGGGAGAATCAACAGATAGTCCAGAAAGTCAGGGGGTTTTGGGGTTTAGTGAGGATTGTACTCCACACCTCCCACTGAGGCGTCAGGAGAAGGTCTGCTGGAGGGGGAGTCAACAGTGGTAGCCTGTGCATTGTAGTAGGCAAAACTAGGCCTAATCAAGTGTTGTTTCTAGTAGGAGAGCTGCTCAGATGCCAAGTCGAGAGGTATGGGATGTGCTCCAAAGCTGAACGCAGCAATCTGAAGGGAGTTTGAAGGGAACGAAGAAGTGGAGCAAGCCAACTGAGATGAACAAGTGTTGTTTCCAAAGAATGAGAAGTCAAATCAAGACTCAGAACAGTCCAAGAGGCAGATGGGCTAAGGAGGGACTGTAAAGTAAAGCAGTAGTATTAGTTGTAAGTTAAGAGATCACCCATCTTGAACAAGTACAGTAGAGAGTAAGTGTCAGAGGGGAGTCTGAGCATCCCTATCTGAAGTATCCAAATCTGCCTATATACATTCAGAGTGGTCTGGACCTTTGGACTACTACTAATCTATGTGTAATCTACATTACCCAATGCTATGTCTAGGGTCCACTTCTTGCTTCCAATAGTCCAGTCTGGCTGAGTTCGAGATGCCATTCAAAGAGGCATTTGAATGTCAGATTCAAGCTTGAAACTCAAATGTGCAGCACATCTCATGGGGGACTTATTCAGTGACTGTCCTCAGTCACATGATTGTTGTTGAGGAATCTTCTGGAATGGCCTGATGAGTCACAGTGGGGGGTTTTGGATCAGTGGTTCAAGGTGGCCTTTTGAGCAGCAGTAGATGGCCATATGGTGGTGTGAGTGTTGTTTGAGTCAGGGCCTACATGCAAAGGCCATTCAGTCATCAAGGAAGTGTGGTCTAAACCTTGGGCCTTCAAATTTCCTTGACAGAACCTATTTCGACCCAGCATATAAAGAGAGGTGTGGTGGGACCTTTTGTATGCTGCTGCCTTATAATTTTTCTCTCTCCTTCCACCACCATCCTGCCAACCTTACTACTCCTTGCTTGACTTTGAAATGGCTCCTTCCAGCACTAGGGCTGCCTCCATAAAGAAGCCTTCATCTGCCAAGACAAAGCCCAAGGCTTCTTCAAACAAGAAGACCTCTGCCATGGATACAAAAAAAGGTTTGAGGGCTCAGAAGGCTGCTGGTAAGAAAACTCAGTTGAAGGAGTTGGTGGATTTGTTGCATGATGAATTGACTGAGCCCGAGGAAGAGGATCCTCCTGCTGTATGGCTCTTCTCCTGGTGGTATTCTTCTTTGTGCTGACCTTTGTGTAGACCCCAGAGCCAGAGCCTTTGACAGAACTCCCAGTCCCAAATGCAAAGCTGGTGTCAACAAAGATGACACCCTTGAAGAAGGTGTTTGCTCCCCCTTTGAAGACCTTGACTCCAAAGTCAAGAGTCTCTTTGGCCAGGTCATCCACATGGATTGAGAAGGAGCTAGAGTCACATGAGGAACCTGAGGAGGAGCAGGAACCTGAGATGACCACTGAGGAGTGCGCCATAGGGGAGGGAGGCAAGGCCAAGGATGAGTCACTCAAGGTGAGTTCTTCCCTGTCAAACCATGTGCCTCGTACTAACCTTTTCCACAGGAAAGCCATGTTAAGGAGACCACTGTGGAGCTGATGGACAGTGAAGAGGAGGAGGTAAGTTCTTCAACCACCTATATGCACTTCTTTGCTGACTTGGTTTCAACAGGAACAGCCCAGGAAGGGCCTCTCCAAGATCCTCAACATGGTTCCACCCTTTGGTGCAGATCTCAATACCTGGAGAGCTAATGGTGGCATGTCCAAGTTCCGGGTAAGCTTTTCTGCTCTTTTTGAACTTCAGATCTAACTTCTTCAACAGATCAAGCTCATCAAGTTCCTTTCAAGGCATAGTAAGAGAAGGTACTGGCTGGCCGTGCCTTCAACTGCAGCTTCTTTCATGGGCCCTGCATTCCATGTGCAATGGCATGTGAAAATGGTTTGTGTGTTATCCCTTTCCCAGTTGCAATTTTCTAGGTCTTGCAGGGGAATCAACTCACTGTGAAGTTGCTGGCATGCAGAGGGCCATTGTACTCACCTTTTAAGGAGTGGGTAGAGGGGGACCAAAAAGCTGTGGTGGGGAGAGATGATAAGCCTCCCTTCAATACTTGGGCTCTTAGGCATCAGATGGAGCTTGAGGCCACTCTGGCTGGCAACAAGGAGGTGCACAGAGTGTTGTCCCATTTTGAACCTGCTGACTGATGTCTGAATAGCCAGATGAGGGCCTCAAATCTGTGATCAAAGCTGAGGAGAAGGCTTGGAATGCACTGTCCATGGCCGAGCAGGCACAGCACCTACTAGACATATTGCCATGCAGACATACCACTGAGTGGGCATCAAAGGGAGTCCATCTCTTCCAGTTCTCAAGGTGGTGACTCTGATTCCCTTGCCCAAGAAGACAACCCTGGTGCACACGCCCATGAAGCCCACCTCTGCTTGTGTGCATCCAAAGACAACTGTTGTCATGGAAATCCCAACTCAGTGCTCCCAGTTGAGGGTCTCCGTCTCCGCTGCTGCTTCTCTGCCTCCTTTGCTGTCAAAGTCTCCTTCCATGGTTGAATCAACTCTTGCTCCTGATGACAAGAAGGCAAAAGTTGGCAAGAAGCTGAAGAACTTCAGCAAGGAACTCAGGGCTCTGGCTGCCAAAGCTGAGCCTGATCTGCTGCCCATGTCAGATGGCATCAGTCCATTTGATCTTCAAGCATTCTGTGTGCTGACCTGTATAAGGTGCTCCAGTCTCACATGTTGAAGGCTCTTGATGGCACAACCAAGGCTACTTGGATGTCTCCTGAGTTTGACATTCTGGTAAGTCTTTGGACCAATGTTCATACCTTGGCTAACCTCTCTTCGAAGCTCAATCTGGACTATCTCCATGGGACTCGTCTGTCCATCATGGACATCTGCCTGTTGCCAGTGTGGCTAGTCTTGTACTTCACAAAGGTGAAGGGCTTTAAGAACATACATGTTCCTTTCTTTGTTTCAACTTCAATTCTGACTTCGAATAGATGTTCTGGGTCCTCTGCAAAAATCCCATTCCTGTGAGTCTTGTTTTCTACCTTCCTGTTCTTATCTGACCATTGAGCAGTGCAACATGTGCGGCTCCAACAAGGTGGGCCAACAGTGCACTGGCAGCTGGAACCACTTGATGACTGATTGGAAGAGCAAGCTGAAGCAGATTGGTTGCTCATGCGACTTGTGCTGGTGCAAGGGCTACAGTTGTAGCTTCATCATGTGCAGTAAGTGTTCTTCTGGTTTTTTTGGAATCAATGACTGATCTCAAACAGATAAGGAAACAGCTGGTGAAAGCTCAAAAGCAGCTGGTTCAAAGTGCAAGGCCATGGTCAATCTGACTGGTGATGACTCAAAGAAGCCCAACAAGAGGGCAAAATCCAGCACAGTGAAGATGGAGAGCGAGCTGGCATTCACAATCCCAGATGCAGTCATGAGGATGGTGATGGCATGGAGGGATGCAGACTCCCCCATGTTCCTTAAGTTCTCTGGCACTTTCCATAAGTTCTTATCGTTCCTGTTTTGGTCCCTCTTCTCATGTGTTTCGGACAGTGCAGTGCCTCCACTGCCTCATCCGTGACTCTGAACGCCTCCACATTGCGCACGCTGTCCTAAGTGAGAGCCTCTGTGTGCTCCACTCCGACATTAAGAAGTCTGGTGAGATCAACAATGACAACTTCTCAGTCATGGTTGCACCTTGGAACACTCACGAGGCCACCAATGCCATCTACCATGTCAAGAGGGGCGAGCCGATTCCCATGGTCAACAAAGAGTTGGAGAAGGCCCAGGCAGCCTACCACCATCGTCATGACAACTTGAGTGAGAAGGGTGAGTCCTCCCGCCAAGCAGACAAGGGCAAGCAGAGAGCCAAATGTGAGTATTTCGATTTCACTTTCAGACTTGTTTGAGCTGATTTCCAAACAGGAGTTCGGCCACTATGTAAGCACCTCTGGATCTTTGCTTAACAACAATATATGGTCCCATATATTGACTCTGCATCTTATCATGGAGGGGGCCATCCTGTCTGCTGTTCCTTATGAGGACCAGGTCACCTGTTTTGAAATTGTGATTGTACATCAGGTTCTTGAACCATTCTTGAAACCTTTCTGCATTCACGTATCAGGCTTTCAAAATCCTCCTTTTGATTTCCACTAGGTCCTCCAGTCTCTTCAGGAGTTGTCAAGCACAGAATGCCACCAAGTCTGCACATGACAAGAGCTGATCCGGGGGTGGAGCTAGCCAAGTTGCTTCTATTATGTCCATTGGCAGAAGGGGGTGAATTCCATGAGCCATGTAGAAAGGACTCATTCCTGTAGCACTGTGAATAGATATTCTTTGTGCCCAGAACACAGCCAGAACCACTTCAGGCCATTTCAACTTGTCTTTGGACATCAAATGGATAATCAATTCTTGAACCGTGCAATGGCTTTGTTCAACTATTCCATTGGCCCTCAAATTGTAACTCAAAATCTGAATGTGATTCAAATGGTACTTCTCCTTGAGGGCATTCATAGCACTGATCCAAGGAGAACCATTATCTGTGATGATTTCACCAATAGCACCCCAATGACTTATGAATGAAGTCCTCTATGACCTTGGCCATTTCCTTCCGACAGATCATGTACTCTGGCCAGTGGGTAAGCAAACACTGAGCTTGCAGAATGTACCTCATTCCTCAATATTGACCTTTTGAAGGTGACATGAACATTGTGTCACAGTGAGCTCAAAAGAATAATGGTTGCAGAGTCTGTACCGTGGGTGGGATAACCACCAATGTCTCATCTGTTGTCATTGGCATTTGTTGCATGTCCTTAAGTATTATTTTGTATCATCCATCAGGTTTGGCCAGAAGAAATGGAGTCAAATGTGGTCATATACCATTCAAAAGCCCCTGTGTCCAATCTCATCATGCATGTTCCAAAGGACATTGATCCTCTTCTCAAATTCAATATATAACTGATGTTCTCCTTTTTTGTCCCATTTGTATAAGTCATCCTGGCCTTTGAGGAAGTAATGCAACATTTTTTCTAGAAATGACTTCCATTGTGCATCCATTAGACTTTGAGGTCTTCAAAAGTTCCTTACATATTGTCAAATCACTAGGATCTTTTTGTCTACCTCTTTTGTCTTTTTGAGCCTAGGTAGCACCTCTTCCAGGGGGTTCAAAAAATTTGGAACAGGGCTTTGAAGGGACTGTTCCAATACAAACATGTAAGACAGGCCAAGGGTATCATCATCTTCAAATTCCAGGAAACAGTCATCAATATCAGATTGGTGGGCCACAGGTCATCTTGAAAGGCCATCTGGTGCTGTATGTCATTCTGCCAGGACATGGTGGAGTTTGAAATTGAAAAGATGGATCCAGTGGATCCACCAGTTCAGAACAACACTCAGCTGTATGTCCAGGTGGTTCAGCAGTCCTTGGATGTATTTTGCATTGACCTTGACATCAAAATTTGGAACACCAACGAGCCAGATTCAAAAAGCCTTTAATGCTTGGTAGAGACCATACAGTTTGAGCTTTGGTTGCAAGTACTTGCTTTTGACATTGTTCCAGTTGATCAATCCAAATTGTGATGGGCAGCACTTTCCTTTTTCATTGTTCTGATGCAAAATGAAACCAGTTATGATGTTTGAAGAGTCGACCACTAAGGTAATATGCTGGTTGCTCTTGTAGTCAATGGGCTTGAGGATGTTGTTCATTTCAGCTGCAATTGCCAATTCCTGGAGAAGTCAAACTGCTTCATATTGCTCTGGTCTGAATTCAAATGGCACACCTTTGCATTTCAGACATTCCAGTGGGCACACCTTCCAAGCAAATCCTTCAATGAAAATTTGAAGGATGCCTACTGTGCCAAGGAACACCCTGACTTCCAAGAGATTTTCACATGGCAGTTTCCATTCAGTGATTTTTCAAACTTTCAATGGGTCCGGAGCATGGCCTTCATAGCAACACCTGTAGCCAAGGAGTATTATTTCCAGAATGCACAGTTGTACCTTGGGTCCGGAGAAGGTTCCTCCTGCATGTTTGCCTTGCTGGATGATTTGGTGCATGTTTCCGAGGTGTTCAAAAATGAAGCATTGAATTCCGGGGTTGCCTGGGATCATTTCGAAGTCCCCATTGGCTTTTTGTACAGAGTCTTGGGGCCCTTTACTCTGATATTGTCAATGAATGGGGTGGTCAAATGAGGAATTTCATCATGGAATATGAAGTTGACATTGTCCTGCATGATGCCCAGCATGTTGTGGGCACCCATGGGTGCAATGGTATATCTGAGGGGACTGATGGGAGACTGAAACAAAGTGTAGTCCCTCGAACTCAAAGCAATGGGGTGCTGTTTGAATCCTCGAAAGAAGTCTAGAAGTCCATAACATCCTCTCGATCCAAAGTCTTCCAGGATGTGTTCTGTCAATGGGGGAACTGTGCTGCTTTGTATCATGACTTGGTTTAAGGGTCAGGCATCTATGATGGGCTTCAGTTCTCCATTCTTCTTTTGAATGACAAACCAGCAAGATCAATATGCGGACTGAGAGCGTTCGAAGGTGCCTGCAGCGACTTTGGCATGGAGGACTTTAATCACATCTTCCATGAGGGTGGGCAGCACTGGGATATTCCGTTCCTGCCACGGAACATGTTCAACTGTCAGAAAGATAACTGGATCAAAATAGTTGGCTCAAAATCATCCAATTTCTGACTCAGCCCATGAAAATGTGTATTCATGCATCTTCAGCACCCAGGCTGCAAGCTTCTCCTCTTTGGGAAGGAGGAAGTTTGATTTGTTGATTTCGAGTGCTTTGAAATGCTCTCTTGTAAGCCAAGCACCTGGAACAAAATCGGGCAGTCAGACTGGTAATGGTTCTAACTGGTCTAACAGATTGGATGGGAAATGATGGTATATCTTCAGTTCTTTGGGGTGTGCCACAGGCACTGGCTTGATACAGTCAGCCACTTTCTTATACTTTCGAATGGTGAGAGCTTGGATCAGGGGGTATGCATGAGCAAGGAGTTTGTGGAAGTATGGGTTATACTGGTACTGCTGGTTTAGAATTTCCAAATCGATGTAATGTATGGCCAGGATGTCAGTTGTTGGTTTGACCTTTGAATCTCGAAATTGCCATGCCAGCTCTCTTGGCTTCAGAGTCATCACAATAAGTCTACTGTGAGGGGAGTCTCTCTGAGTGTAACTCAGTTCCTCAACTCTTGAAAATCCTCTGATGCATGCAGGTTTGACAAATGGGTGGTGATGATGGCAGTCTTCAATGTAGTCAGACAGGTGAAGGTGATCTCTTGGTACCCATCTTTGAAATCCTGAGTGGAACACTTGAACAAGGTTAGGAACAGCCTTCTGAGGAGCAGTCTGACCAGTAATGTAGTGGCCACATGCACCTGGAACAGTCTGGAGATGTTTCTGACCATTATCCAAAGGTTTTGAACACATCCCAACATACTGCTGATGCTTCCATTTGCCGACCTCATCTGTACCTTTTCCATAGGAGTGTAAACTGAGCCCGTGTGATGCCAAGCCATGTAATGCATAATGTGAGGGCACTAGGTCTAGCAAGGTTGCCACACACTAATCCCAAACAATAGATGAAGTGCTGGGGGGTCTACTATGGTTGAAAGCAGCTCCAACCAGCAGTACTAGTCAATATCCAAGTCACCAGGGCCAGCTGGATTATTGGGGGGGTCACTGGGGGGTCCCAGGGGGTGTTATAAGTCAGTTATAGATAGCTGAAAAGTGTAGCAAGAGTTGTGGAGTCAAGGCAAGTTTATGAGGGCAGGGTGTTCAGGCATGTATAAAAGGGGGTCCAAGACAATGAGATAACTTAGAAACTGCTTGTAGACTAAGGAGTTTCCTCAGAGATCAAATCTGAGGGCTACAGCATCACTATACTACTGTTTATAGACCTTGTAGCTGTTCACCAGAAGCCCATAAGTCCAGGTAAATTCTGGGGACTCCTACATGTGTCAGATAGACGTCCTAGCAACACCCCTAGGCCTCCCAAACCTTTCCAATAAATTGTGGAAACTCCTACAAGTGTCATCTTGCATCCCACTACTCCCAGTAGGGGCCTTTAGCACTGCTATGTCTCACCCCAAGTGTCTGGACACAGCAGTCTTGTGGTGTCCTCTGCACAATGTCTTGTATGGCCACTGCCATTGTCCTAAGGCAGTTACCAGCACAGGAAGTTCCAGGGGCTTGTTGTTTCATTGCTCCTAGGGCAAAATGGGTGGCCAGGGGTGGTAACAGGCAGTGCCCTGACAGTTATGTGGATCCGATTATCCCCTTACTGGATAGACAGCATCAACTTGACTTACCGGATTTTTACTTGACTTATTGTGACCTGACTGGACAGACACCAAGCTCCAATTATTGTGTACTGACTTTCAATAGCTCAGCTACAGGCTGACTCCCATGTTCCTACTGACTTCCCCCTCTCTCCCCTCTTTCCCTAGCAAGTTCTTGCACACCACCCATCAGACTGATATTTTGGACACCTCTTGGGTTGGATCACCAGGTAGATGGAAAACCCTTGAACTTGTCTTGCACAACTACTGGTGGCCTGGAATGAGCCGGTTTGTTGCCTGATACATCAAAACCTGTGATGCATGTAACTGAACCAAGACATTCCCTCAGGCACCCATTGAAAACTCATTCCAAACCAAATTCCAACTGAGAGGTGGCAGATCGTGACAGTCAATCTTATCATGGGACTTCCAGTTAGTGACAGGTATGATTCAATCTTTGTCTCAGTGGATCGCCTCACCAAACAAGCATGGTTTGCCCCAACCGCAAGTTCAGTCAGTTTGGAAGGCATTGCGAGACTCTTCCGTGACAATGTTTGGAGAAATCATGGCCTTCTGCAGGAGATCATCAGTGATCATGGCACAACCTTCATCTCAGAGTTTATGTGAGAACTGTATCAGCTGCTGGATATCAAGATCTCAGCCTCAACCACATACCATCCACAAACAGATGGTCAAACAGAAAGGGTGAACCAAGAAGTCAAGCAATACCTCTGGCTGTTTGTCAACTATTGACAGGATAACTGGGCAGACTGGTTGAGTCTCACAGAGTTCACATACAACAACTGGGTCTCAGCCT